ATTATTTGGAGGCCTGGTTGGTACATAAACCAGGTTAAGTACATGTTTAATCTAGCCGCAGTAAAAGTCTTAACGTAGATCATCATCTCCCGAAAAGCCTTTTTAATGCCCATCTTTTACCGCCTGTGACAGGTTCGGAGTCTGATTTTTTCTTCTTGGGACGATTGTTGTGGATAGGCAAGGCAGGAGGGGTTGCAGCTGGAGTCTGCTGTGTTGACTTCTTTGATAGGGAATTCACTGCTCTTCCCCAGTCTCCAAGTGCGTTAGAGGAGGATATGGCATGTGGGTGATCTGGACCTAACAAGTTACGGCGGAGCTCTACGCACTTTTCCATCAGAGCTAAGGCATCTTGGACCTTTCCTAGTCGTTTCCATGTATAGGCCAGGTTGTTCATGCTGGTCAGAGTGGATGGATGCTCTGGGCCCAGTACTTGCTTGCAGAGCTTCATCGCCTGTACTTCCAGCTCCTCTGCTTCCTTCCATCGTCCCTGGTTCCGGTATGTTGATGCCAGATTAGCCATGCTGGTCAGAGTGGATAGATGCTCTGGCCCCAGCACTTGCTTGCAGAGCTCCATCGCCTGTACTTCCAGCTCTTCTGTCTCCTTCCATCTGCCGTCACTATATAGACAGTTCCCAATATTCATAATCAAATTAATATATCTCTCCTGCTCCTTCTGAAAGTCAGCTTCTGCTAATAGCGAAAACGCATGCGGCAGATACTCCCGCCACAGCTTCCGATTAGTATAGTCATTGTTCGGGAAAGCTTCGCTCAATCGGTCTGCAGCTTTCAATATATGCCGGCTGAACTGTTGGCTCTTTCTCATCCAGTTCCGAGTCGCAAGATGGACTAGTCTGTGTATATTTAGAAAACGGTCCCCGCCATCCTCACTAATAAAGGAGAAGGCCTTGAGGAGGCCGATGGCATCAATTCTCTTCTCAGTTGAGATTGGCTGGGGAAGTAAGGACTGCGGAATACCGCGAGGGTTGATACAGGCCATGAATGACAGATAGTCTGCCGCGAGCTCATTTGATCGCTGAATTTGCTGAAAGGAGATGAACCAGGTTAACGCAACAGGATTCTGGGTGTCTTTGTATCGCCTTTCGTCCCCAAAGTCTTCACTCAGCAATTCAACCACATCTGGCTCCTGGTCTTGTAAAAGTATCATATAGTCAGAGAGGCCAATGCTGTTTTTATTGATATACGCTGCCGCCTGGGTGATCGCCAACGGGAGAAAGGCCAGCTGCTCAAGAAGCGTAATAGCCGTATCATAATTATTAAGTAAAGTTTTTTCAACCAGTGAGTTTTGTAAAATTTTGAGAGCAGTCTCTGTGTCCGGCTCAGAGATCGTTATAACATGAGAAGACACTAGTTTCACAGCTACCTTCCGGCTGCGTGTGGTGAAGAGAATATGGCCCTGCTCACTTCGAGGAAGCAAGTCTGCCAGTACTGAATTATTAGTATTGTCCTGGCTCCACATCTCCATATCATCTGCATTATCAAAAAGAAGAATCCACTTCCCGGCACTCTCCTGGCTGAGATAGTCCTTGACCTTTTCTTTTACCTCTGCCGGCTTTATGTCAGTCATTCCTAGCTTTGAGGCGATGATCATGTAGGCTTGTTCTACACTCTCATAGCTGGTACATTGAATCCAGAACATCGAGTACTCAGGGTCTCGTTTTCGTATGCGGTATGCCAGTTCAAGTGCAATCTGGGTCTTCCCAACTCCGCCTAATCCGCAGATAGCAACTTTGTCAGGTCCGTCTTGTTGCACAATCAATTCCTCGGTTCTGGTGATTTCTTCTTCCCGACCCACGAATCGCGGGTTTCTTCCGAAGGGGACCACCCAAACTGGCTGCCTTGATTTATATGATTCCTTCTTGTAGCAGTAAGTGGGAACCACTGACAGAAGAGTCTTCGCGTAGGCAGCAGCAGCAAGGGCCGCATATCCTTGCCACTGTTTATTCTTGTGGGAATCACAGTAGTCACAGATGCCTCGAATGGCAAGTGATGGGAGTTCGTCCATGAGCCCAGCAGCCTCCATTTCAAAACAGAGTATGCCTAGATCCTGAGCAATAGAATCTCGAGTCTTAGCATCCTTCATGACCTGATCTCCGGAAGCGATTAAGCCATAATGAAAATAAGGGCCATCAGTTTTTCGCTCTGGACGGTTCACTAGCTGGGTGTGATCACATGCTGAACAGTTGTGTCCGCTATTCTTATGATTGTATGTCGGTCGGAATAGCCAGTCATCTTTCGGTCGTGAAAATTTTTCTCTCATCTCCTCACATTTGTGCTGTATATCAATCAAGATCTTACTAACCGGCCTTTCCCCTGTCATATAACCACTCTCTAATTGAGATATAGCCTTCAACAACACCAAAGGCGGCTTATTAAGCGACCCGGTGTGCTGGAATCGTCCATCTAAAAGTGTCTTGCCATAGTCATATTGGATAACACCACTTGAAGTGGCAGTTGGCTTGCTGATTACAACGTCACCAAGGCGAATATCAGTACTTTGGCTCGGGACCCCGCCACCAATACCCACCATCAATCCAAACCGGATATTTGGATAGGTAGAAACCATGTGTGATACCACAGTTGAAGCAGATATGGTTCCGTACACACCGGATGGCAGGGGGGCCACCACTACATTGTGGCTGCTAACACTCCCAAGTATATAAACATTGTGGTCAGTTCCTGGCTGGGGGAGCGGAGGGTGAACCTCGTCCAGCATGGCCTTCGCGGCCGCCATTTCCAACGGCAAGGCACAGATCCATGCGACCGTATAGTCATCGCGTGTGAAGACCATTCTATATGCCATATACAATAAAGAGGTGGAATTTAGCGAGAAGGAATCATGTAGTCTTTGCTAGAGAAAAAGAGTATCTCCTACAGTAGATATTAGAACTGCAGGATAAAATTCTTCAAGGGCCTGTTAAAAATCGAGTTGGGAGTTGAGGGGTCATCTGCTACGTGTTGCTGTGAGGCTGTCGCGGTTCAAAAGCCAATCATAGTCTTGAGAATATATAAGTAAAAAGCAAACACAAGAAGTGACGTGTATCAACAGCACTCAAGCAACAACCCCAGTTTCTCAAGATGACCGACCTCCCAAGGTCCCATCAACTAGCTGAGACGGATATGTTGCTAGTCATAGTAATTAAAGCGAAAAGCAAAAAAGAGAAAATAGAAGCCTAACGTGCTGTATAATTATTTTAAGAATTTTTGAGAGGGTATACCTACTATGCCCTCTTCGGAATCGGCATAAATGCATTTATCTTAACACGGTAAGGTTTATCATGATTAGTTAGTCATTTCGCGGTAGCCTGAATACGGCAAATTATATTCAATATGTAATGCAAGGAGCCAAAGTACAATTGGCATAAAATTTAAGAAATCGGCTCAACAACGGCAACGCTGATAGTATTAAACTCGGTTAAAACTCTTCAATTGCCAGGCCTGCATTCCGGAAATGTCCTTTTGTACTTTGTTTCCTTGCCCCTACAACATCGATGTACTATTCAAGGAAGATATTGAATCCTTGATCAGGGCTATCTTTATACAAGCTCCAGTACCGCCGAATGAAAGCTTTCAACTCAGCAAAAAACTCCTCGGTAGGATTTAGGTCCGGCGAGTATAGCGGCAAATACACCAGCTTAACCCCCGCTTCCAAGCATATTTGATCGATCCGCTCGGGGTAATAAAAAGATGTATTGTCTATAACTATGATAGACTTCGGTTCTGGCCATTTCCCACAATGCAGAAGCAGCTCCTCAATAAAATCCTCAAAGACCGAAGTATCAGTCGCACCTCGAAAGATACGGGACAGAACAATACCGTCCTGAGAATATACAGGCAATATTTGATACCGCTGATCACGGTGAAATTTAGACACTTGGATAGGAGTTGTACCTAGAGGAGACCAGCCCGTTCGTTGGAAGCCAACTCGTTTATCGCATCCAGATTCGTCCACGTATACAAGCTGATAGGAATGAAAATCTGAGATTAAATGGAAATACAAATGCCGCGGATCTGAATTTCGTTCCTTTGCTTTCGGCCGAGCTGCCTTCTTTGACCAACCTTTAGAAGACAGGGCCTGTCTGATACTAGACGTAGTTGCGTGTATTTGGAACTCATCCATAGAAAAATAGCCATTTCGTCAAGGTATAGATCAGGCTTTTCAAGAAGATGATCACAGAGTGCCTCCAGCATTATTGGCGAGATACTTCGTGGGCGTCTATCTTTATTTGGAGGTGCTTTGCTACTGCCGAATAGCTGGAGATTTGAGCGAATCCTACGAATTGCACGCGTGCTGCAGTTAGCAGCTTCAGCTATCTGGGCATTAGTAAGTGATGGATTACATTTGATCATATCACAAATAATTTGATGTTGCGAAGGTGCCAGGTTGGGTGCCATCGTATTCCTGTGGTAAGATTGATCGTCAGGAGATTATCCGCAGGAAACATCATGGTAGGGTAACCAAGGTTGTGTCTGTATGTTCGGTAATATAATACAGAAATACCATATGGTACAGCGTGACGAAACCACATTAATACGGGTCTTTTCCTATAATAGACTAGCGCATTTGGCAGTAGGGCTTGTAGAACAATCGAAGAGTGTAAAGGGGATGACAGCAGTTTCGACTCCAACTGTATGGACGTACACTTGTGCATACAAGCTGTTGTGGGCGCTTCTCGGCTCCCTTCACAGTCGGTAAGCTTACTGCCTTGGCTCTGTCCGGCTTTTGGATGTGGAAATGCAATGAAGTTGAACGACTTTCGGTCAGGTGTTCCCCACCCTTCACCCGCCGCCGTGATTTTCCTCCGTCATTCCGATTCGCAATCGGCAACCTCGGCTTCACGACAAATCCTGTTGCGCGGCAAACGATACGCTCCTACATGCGTGGATCCTAGTGCGCAAGAACATTCGACGAGCTGGGAGAATTTCGAAGCCGAAAGGAAGGAAAGCAAAAGTTCAAGGAACCCGTTGGAGATACCGCATCGATGCCAGTGAGCGGGCCGTCGGCGAGGCTCTGCGTGGAGTACATGCCAGCCACGCTGGGGTCTCGAAGGGTGTCGATGCTGCCTCGAGGTACAAGGCCGGCCTACGTCAGACAATGCAGAAGAAGTATACATCGGTCACATGCCATTGTGGGCCGTTCGCAGACGCCAACCCCGACAATCGTCCATCCAAACTACGGCTTGAAACCCCGTGGGCCTCGTCATGAGTATATGCGACGGTACGCGACAGCAGCGGCGAACAAGGTCAGGTCGGATGTTGCAGCTGAGCTACAAGGTGGTCCTCTAAGGGAATATGATTCGCGAGTGCAGCAGGGTCGCCTACGGGATGACCCATACCAGAGACGTACGTCCTACCCTCTTCTTCGCTGTCTACGATCAACCCCAAGGGACATGGTGAATGCTGATGATTGCATGACGCGCAGAGATCATTGAGAGGCTACAAGACCTTCACGAAAGGCTGCGAAGCTACCACCCTCCGACCGTCGTCCATCCGAATCCCGAATCCTTGGATCCTCAGCCGAAAACGTCGTTCCTGGGCTCTTTGTTCGGGCGTGGCAAGGCGAGAGAAGAGTTAACCGTTCCTAAGAGCCTCCCGAAAGGCCTATATATGTACGGAGATGTCGGGTGTGGAAAAACGATGCTCATGGATTTGTTTTACGATACCTTGCCGTCGAACATCGTGTCCAGGTCTCGGATCCATTTCCACAACTTCATGCAAGATGTACACAGGCGCATGCATGTGGTCAAAATGCGGTACGGCAATGATTTTGATGCGTTGCCTTTGGTAGCAGCGGCTATTGCCGAGAAATCAAGCGTGCTGTGTTTCGACGAGTTCCAGTGTACGGATGTTGCGGATGCTATGATCCTGCGGAGGCTTCTGGAGTCCCTCATGTCCCATGGAGTCGTGCTCATCACCACCTCTAACAGGCACCCCGACGATCTGTACAAGAACGGCATCCAGCGGGAGTCATTCATCCCGTGCATCAACCTCCTGAAGACCGCCCTGGACGTGATCAACTTAGACTCTCCCACAGACTACCGCAAAATCCCTCGACCGCCTTCCGGCGTCTACCACCACCCACTGGGCTTGGACGCTGATCAACACGCCCAGAAATGGTTCGAGTTCCTGGGTGATCCCAAAGATCCTCCCCATCCAGCAATGCAGGAGGTCTGGGGCCGCAAGATCGAGGTTCCCCTGGCGAGCGGCAGAGCCGCTCAGTTTAGCTTTCAGCAGTTGATCGGTCGAGCGACAGGAGCTGCGGACTACCTGGAGTTGGTCCGGAACTATGACGCCTTCATCATCACGGACGTCCCCGGGATGAACTTGAATCAGCGAGATCTTGCGCGTCGGTTCATTACTTTCATTGATGCCGTCTATGAAAGCAGGGTAAGCACTCACCCCGCACCGAGAAGAACTCGACTAATCCCCTGCAGGCCAAACTAGTCCTGACCACGGAAGTGCCTTTGACCAACCTCTTCCTCTCTGAGGCGGAGGTGAAAAGCTCTCTCCAGGGAGGCGAAGGCAGTGATCTCTCTGACGCGATGCGCATGATGATGGACGACCTGGGCCTCTCTATGCAAGCCCTCAAGTCCACCTCCATCTTCAGCGGTGATGAGGAACGCTTTGCGTTTGCCCGGGCGCTCTCGCGTCTCTCCGAGATGGGCAGCAAGCAATGGGTGGAGCGGGGATTGGGGGTCGGGATGGATGCCGAGAAGGGGAAAAGCGAGCATGACGCATGGATCAAAGCGAGAAGCCATTGGAGCGAGGATAATATGTGAGGAAGACTCCACATTGGTCCTACGCTCCTCCCATTTCGTCGCACTAGACTTGGGTGTTGTATACCATTTGATTTTCTTTCCTTCTCTCTTTCTTTCTCCGTTGCGCATGGAATGTACATATCGGCATAGATAGATGTGTGGCACTTTGCAAGGCCATGAGTATGAACATATTGAAGATATCCACACCATGGTATGAAGGCACGCCATAACGCGTTCCTCGACAAGACGTGTGGCTCATCCCGAGGCATGCATGTCCGTTATAACGTCCAACCGGTGGGACGGTCCACCGATTTTCGAATGCGGTCCGATTCGATCACGACGCCGCTGGAGGGCTGGTCAGGGCCTGACGGAGCTGCTGTAACTTCGCAAAATGCAAGAAGATGGAGGGTCGATCAAGATTCGTATGAAGGGTGGGGACTCCTCCTTGACACTTTCCAGTTCGGCTGCATTTAAAACTCTCCCCATGTATGTCCCTTGGGTGGGTAACACGAGACTGGACTTCATCAGGGGCAAGCCAGCAGCAATCGCAGCCTGATGATCGTATGTACCCATTCTATTTTGGGAGCCATCCAGGGATCCGGTCGGTTTCTGCATGGAAAATTGTCCGATACTGGCCATGTTCCACCTCATGTCGATCCGTTGGCGAATTCACTGCGGAATTGTTTCACCACCGTCGGGGTCGACAGGCAGGCGTACTCTCTTCTCTGCCTCTTTTCCTCGTCTCCCTTCAGCCCGTCGAGGGGGCACATCATACATTCCAGAAGCAATTTCCACGCAAGGGGGTAGAACTCTCCCATTCTTCCTTGGTCGCGTTTGGAATTGAGATCGATTCGATTCAAATGTTCCCCCGACTTTGCTTTCCACCGTCAACATCGAACTGCAAAAAGAGGAACGGAACGATGGGCTTCAAGATCACACGCTCCCAGCGTTTGTCCGCCGTGATTGGGATTTCCTCGGTTTTTTTCGTGGCGGAGATTTCCAGTAAACACGCCTTGTTCTTCTTCCCTCTTCCCTGTCCTCGCGTTTCCTAGCGTTTGCCCCCTGTTGTCTCAGGCTCAGTCGTCGGAGGGGGAGGATGGTTGCTGAGATTGTCTCATAGTTGGATTTTATACGCATTCTTTGGCTTTGGTCGCTGATGCCTTCCACTATGTACGGATTCATGCCTACGGAGGAACTGCGTGGAGGCGTTGCTAATCAGTATCTAGCTAAATGACCTGATCGGCTTCATCGTGGCATTGGTGGCTCTCCGGGTAGGATGCCTGGATTCTTCCCAAAGACTACCCAAACGACTAACGTGTGTACTCCGATCCCTCTGAGCATAGATATCCGAGACAAACGATGCGCCCAAATCCTTATCCTTCGGATGGCAGCGAGCCCAGCTACTCGGCGCGTTCTTCAACGGTGCGCTTCTTTTCGCCCTGGGGATCAGCGTATTCCTACAATCGATAGAGCGATTCATTTCGTTGCAGTGTTGGTCTTCCTGTCGAATCAGACACGTCGCCGCTAATCCTAGTTAGACGTGGAGAATCCGAAGCTGATGTTCATTATGGGCGCGGTGGGGTTGGGTCTGAATCTGATCAGCGCAGTTTTCCTGCATGGTGCGTCTGGTCTCTGGTCAAGAGGGCGTTACTCGGTTGTGATACAAGACTGAAAGATGGGCAGAACATGACCACGGACACGGTCATCATGGACATTCAGCCGCACCGTTGTCCCCTATTCCACCTCCCAGCCATGAGCCAGAGATCTCCGAGGTTCGTTCGTGGGAAGTTGACCCTAATGTGTTTATGGTGACTGACGATCACTATCATGCAGCATCATAATCACAAACACCAGCTGCACGGCACACAACCGACCTCCCTGGGACACGACTTGGGCATGCTAGGTGTTTTGCTGCACGTGGTCAGCGATGCGGCCAATAACCTGGGAGTCATGGCTGCAGCCCTGGTGATCTGGCTGGCACACTACGAGGGAAGATACTATGCAGATCCGGGCACGAGTATGGGGATCGCCATGATGATTATGCTGTCTTCACTTCCTCTCGGTATCTTGATCTCATCGTAGATTACGTGGGAACTTGGCTAACAATGTGTACAGTGCGACGATCTGGCCTCATTCTGTTGGAGAGCGCTCCGAACGGGTTGGATCCGGCGGACGTGAAACATGATCTGGAAAAGGCACGTATTCGCGCTTCGGGATCAGTATCCGAAGAAGCCATCCTCGTGAACCGTCTTCGCATTCTGGACTTCAATGCTGATTAATGTGCATAGGTACCTGGTGTCTTAGCCATCCACGAGCTTCACATCTGGCGTCTGAATCAGAACAAGACTCTGGCATCGGTCCACGTCGTGGTCTCCGATCCGTCCGTGGAGAACTTTGCCAAGACGACCAAGACCATGAATGAATGCTTTCATGCGTACGGTATCCATTCGGCAACACTTCAGCCGGAAATGTGTCCCCTGGCGGAGGCCATCTATACGGAGCATGAATCGGCGGAGACCGTGCAGGAGCTACGCAAGAGATCGCTGGAGAAATGCCAAGTGCTGTGCGGAACGTTATGCGAGGAGCTGACATGCTGTGGGTAGAAGGCGATTTTGGGTCCATGTAATCTTTGATCGTTGCCAGAGGGGAGCATGATATGCTCGTGACCTCTTTCACGCGAGAAAGCTGGTTTTGATAGCTGTGATCCTAAAGAAATATGTACATACATGCAGTCCACCTGTGGTGTTGCGGAGAGTATTGAAGGGGTTGTCTGCCTCAGGCTGCCAACCTTAATCAGATGACCCCACTCCAAGCTCTCTTCCGCCTTTGGCGTCCAATTGCTCTTGCTCTTCTCCCCCACGTCATCGAATGCTACAAGGGATGTGACGCTCTCTGCTTCTTTCTCCTCTAGTTGGCCTACAATGTGATACTATTTGCTTGCAACCATGCTGTACCCTCTACCGCTGTCGACTCCGAGAGCGATAAGACTTTTCAGAACGTTATCGGCAAGCCCGACTCGAGCTCCACACCCGTTCTCCTCCCACGTCCTAAAGAGCTCCACTCAAGTCCGAACACTAGGGGGATGTTCTCACCAACGATATGGAAACGTCGATGCCCACGCACGGATACGGATAACCCGGTATCAACGCCTTTCTCAATCAAGACTAGGTGGCACACCAGCTGTTCATCCACGACAAGCCCCAGCTCCAGCGGTATGGGGCCATCAACACCACTACCGTCGTCGCCCGTGGTGGACTACAAGGTGGGACGGGACTAGGTCCAAACCCAGCACCCCGGGATCCACACAGAATGCGGCACACCCTCAGATGAGCTTCTGGGAAGCGGAAAGTGCCCGGATGCAGCAGAGGATGGAGCAGATTCGGAAAGAAATCGCCACCGATCCATACACAGCGCTTTTCGGGAGAAGGCTTCAGTCGTTGGGCTTCCCCAGTAACATGGAGAATAGGATTATGTCTGCATGTCGTTCGGTTTTCGGCATGGGCAAAGCAGACGAGATTGACAGAACCACCCACGTTGCTCAGGACAGGAATGTGCAGGACCTTGAATATGATCCGATTCGTGGTCGTATGGTTCCTCGGAAATCGTCCAAGCACACCGCTGAGACACGTGGCGGAGGATCTCCGGACACCGTTGTCGGGAACCACACGCAGCATGAGACCCGGACCGGCTACCTTTCTGCTGTTGATCGGGTGAAAGAGCATGCAAACGATGGTGCGAGTACACTCCAGGATTCAGAGTCGGCGAAGGAAACCCAGGCAGATCCATCATGTATGCTGGGGCAAGCGGGCACAAGCTCAGACGGAGCTACGCTCAGTGAATCTCATCGGCATCAGGACTCCCTCGAACGCCCGACATCAGAAGTGGAAAGTCGTGGAAACGGTATGAAAGAGCAACTCAATTCGGACCATGGAGCACAAGCGAATGGACTTGAGAGTCAAACCTGGTCCAGATTTCCGGCATTCAACCCAGATCACTATAAACCCACAAGCTTCGCAGTTGGAGGTCCAGCTCAGCAACCGGAACCACGGCTAAGAGAAGAGAGGGCAGAGGATCTGGACCTCCTGCGTGCTAGCGACATCCGTTCGTTGTATAACGCAAAGAGCTTGAAGGGAGATCCCGAGGCGCGGCACAAGACGCGCAAAGACTTGGATACTGCTTTTGACTCTTATATAGACCCCCTCAGCGATGTGAAGGCTGAAGATGTGAGAGCAAGGTTTCAAGAACCCGTGCCTGCATCGTCAGTGAACGGAGCGACAAGAAGCGGGCCCTCCATGCTGGAAAGTACGGCTCAACTTCAGTCAGTGGAAGGTAGTTCCAATAACTCTGGACTGCCAGTGCAAGAAGAGCACACAGACGCATCGTTTCCTGGCAAGCAGGCTCGCAAAAGCACCCAGGCCACCGCAGGCAGCTCTCTCATCGGCGACACTTACCGCGTTTTAGCATATGATCCTTCGACCCTGCAGATCACACGAGCGGAATCGAACTCCTCCTTTCATACAACGCACGAGTTTCTCCACCCATCTGAAATCCTTCCCCGCCTGAATAACCCATCCAAGTTCTTGCCATACTTTGAAGAGATGCAAATCGATGGCTATGAGATCGTCTCGGGTGGCGGAGACATACTTGTGTTCAAAAAGGCTCTCGCGGAGAACGCGGAGAACGTGAAGCGCGAGCTTGGTGCCTATGTGAGAGACGAACCCTTGTTCAGCGATGAGGTTTCACGTCGACCAAATACAGCCAATACCGCGAGCCCTGCATCTGGCTCCAGTTGCTCTGAGACCAATGTACCTCCTCGGAAGAGCAGAAGTAGAATTGGCACAATCCTACGCCGGATGCTCATCGGTGGGTTTGCCACGGCAGCAACGTGCTATGCCCTTGGTGTTGTCAGCGAGTATTTCCGAACCGGTGGACAGGATGGACGAGGCATTGACGGGTTCACCGAATTTGAATCCGAAAGGCGGCATAGGGATCGAGAGTAGGATGTCGGTGGAGTAATACTGTGGATTAAGAGTAGTAACTGCACATGGGATGTTACGAGTATCTCTCAGGTAGACATGAACAATCTCAGTTTTGCTGTGAACGTGACGCATTTGTCTTTCTCTCAGATCCCTTTACCCCCACTGGACCGTCTTTACAGCAGCTCATCGGTTGACCAAATGATGGGCAACGGTTAAGGGCCTTCAAAAATCACGTCGGCATCATCCTTGGCACACCCGTCATCATGCTTGTCCTCCCAGACCCAGTCCCACCACGGTTGACGAAAATCCTTGAATCCTCCAATGCGGTCATTGGTCGATGATCGCATTGCCTCTCGTCTCCAGAACCGCTCCTGATCCTCCTCCCGCTTTTGCCGCTTCAGGGCCCTCAGCTTCTGTTCCTGTAAGACCACGTCTTCTTCCTCCTGTGCGGCCTTCCTTCGCAGCTCCTCGTCCTCCGAGTCGGGCTCGTCATCCTCATCGTATGGCGAGCAACTAAAGCTATATTGCAGGATGCCACACCGTGCGCGCCCGCTCATCAGATACATGACTAACCCCACCAGCAAGCGCAGCGCCGCGTAAAAGTCCGATTCGACCCACAGATCGTACTCTTTACTCCCCAGGATGCGAAATACGCGCGGGTCCGGCTCGCTGTCGGAAGTTGACAGTTGGAGCCACTCGACCTTCTGCATGAACCGCTCCAGATTCTGCTGGCCGTAGAACCGCTGGTCAGCATTGCTGACAACGAGCCGCCTCATCTCCGTGTCGTCCCGGATGCGTTGTGCCGGCCGCTCCAGAGCCGAGAGGTCTTGTGTCCAGGGAAGATGCCCCGAAAGATATGCAGCCGGGATCCGTGCAGGCCGATCAGAAACACTTCTTGGTCGGGGAACTTGTCGCCAGGAGGGTGCAAGCGGTGGATGTTCATGAGCAACTGCGAGAGCAGCAGCTTAAACTTTCCTTCCAGGGCTGATTCCAGGGATTCGTGCTCCTCTGTTGTCTGTAAGAGAACCCTGGGCTTAGTTACGTTCGCTGAGATGCAATGCACATGACAGAGACTTAGAAAGGACGTACCGTGGATACAGGGAGAACCGCACGCGTAGACTGTTGCTCTGGGTAATATTTGAGGGCTAACAATCCCGCCGTAACCGGGGCATCCTTATACTTCTCACGATATCCAGTCCAGTATTCCAATTGACAGTTTAGCAGTCGCGCACTGGTTGCCATCAGCCCTAATGCATCTTACTCCATCACAAACGGAGAGGAAGTCTCCCACTCCAGGGAGCGGATGGGAGGGGGGGGGTTTGAAACAGCGGAGCTGAAGGGAAAGCTTACCGAAGACAAAAATAAGACTCGGGATCCTCTGTTTCACGCGTGATGCTCAGGACACCCAGGACCTCGTCAAGAAGAGCATAGACGACTTGTCCCTGCGCCCTGGCGGCACTGGCAAAGTCGTATCTCCGCGCCGGAGGATCCTCATGGCTTGCGTCATCTTCATACAAGCCCTTGCGAAATAGCGGTACCTTCTTGAGTGTCTTAAATACCCCTCGGAAACGGATGTCGACCGTCGACCACCGGTTCAGATTGACCTGGCGCGCATTCTGTTGGCGGCGGAAGAGCCAGATTATGCGTTGCACCATGGCTAGCAATGGTTAGTGCTGACCTCACTTCCAGCACACACACTCTCTCTCCTTCTCTCTCTTTCTTCTTGGGGTTTACGATTTCATTGGCGGTAAACGAGTTGAGGAAGGTAAGGGTGATGAACATGTACATACGTGATCGCTGGGCTTTTTTGAGGTATCGTGAAGGGATGAGGTCTTCTTCGGGACAGTTCAAGAAGACCCTCGCCTTCAGACCGCGGACTTCGATCTCGACGACTTTCTGTTCGGCAGACGGGGCTACTGTGTTGGATGAGCCCAGGCCTGCGATGCTCGCAGCAGCTCCTTCGTGATCCGGTTCGTCTACCTCCATGCGGAAAAACTGACTTGGTGGTGAGAACGATGGTGGATGATGCGAGTCAGGATGAAATCTCCATGGGAGCGGATTCAGTGGGCTACCAAGGCACAGTGTTGTGGGCAGTGAATGTGTTGGTCAAGTCCACAGTGAATGGAGGGGCTGCGCATCTGCGCGTTCATCTGCGCGGTCCTGAATAGTAACACTGTCGATAGTGCTGCCAATAGATGGCGGCTACCGAGAGGGCTGCATGATTCTATCGTATAGGTTGCGAGAGCTCAATAGAAGATGCTGGCTTCGGTTAGAACGTAAAGTGAAAGTAGATTCATGGTGATAATTGTAACGGCAACGCTGGAGCTCTCCCGATGTGGGTTTTCCCTCGCCTCTTTCTTCCCCGGAGGATTTCTTTGATGGGAGTTTGGGAAGAGAGATCCGAGTGTGTATGTCCATTTTCTCGTTGATCTCTCGGGGATACAAGCGTTGGACACTATTGTGGCGTGGATGTGATTCTTTACTACCGTTGGTGATGTGTATATATATGTATATCGGAGCGCGGAGATATATACCTTCCGGAGATGTTGACCCTATCGACTACGGATTCAAGGTTAAGTTACTCTACCAGGCCATACAGACACCCACGACTACTCGTACCCCCCTCAAGACCGACATCCTGAGGGTATCACACCACCGACGATGTCTTGATAGACAAGTCAACCACGGCATCAGTCTCACTCTCATCTACTGGACCCCCCTCGTGTCCAGTGGGGCCACCCCCGCCCGATCACTCCAGCCAAGACTGCAAATACCCATGGAGTACTACGTACCTCATCGACCGACCTCCCCAGCGCAACGAAAGAGAACAACACGCAAGAAACCATGTGGAAGCCAAATCGAACTCCCGTCCGCACGCAGGACGCGCCGTTGCCGCCGTCCTTCCTCTCCCAGGCCATCGTGGCCGGCCAGCAGGTCTACTGCTCGGGACAAGTGGGAGTGAGTCCCAGCACAGGAAAGATGGTCGAGGGACCCATCCAGGAGCGAACGGTATGGTTCTCGACGTGATCTGATCTGGTTCTCTACAGAAGGGTGACTCATGCATGCCAGAAACAAATCCTCCGCAACTTGAGCGCCGTCCTCACCGCGGGTGGCTCGAGCCTCCAAGACGTGGTGAAGGTGAACATCTTCCTGGCCGACATGGGGGATTTTGCGGCGGTGAACGAAGTCTACGAGACGTTTTTCCAGGATCCCAAGCCGGTAAGTGCTGGTTTTCGTTTTTTCTACGTGCTCTTGTGGGGAGTGAATTGGATACGCGTGCTGACTGATCTCGAGGCGCGGACGTGTGTGGCTGTCAAGACGTTGCCGTTGGGCACGGATGTTGAGATTGAGTGTACGGGCTTGGTGACGAAGAGAACCCCTGGGGGTTCGCGTCTATGAGTGAATCGCATTGTGGGATCCAAACTCTGGAGCTTAGAGTTCATCGGAGGAGGGTCGGTGGCGGTCGATCAAGTTCTTCGTCGCGTCTGGGTGAACTCTCCGTACCTTGGGTTAGACAATGAAACATCGGTAGAGATCTCAGGGCAATGAATGGTTCGTGGCTATGTAGCAATTATGTGACCGGTGAGATCCATGGATTGATTCATTGTTTGTCTGTACGGAGTACTGTACGAGTCATCCTCCTCGCCAACCCAAATCACCCACAGAGTGGGAAATTGCGGGATGAAATTAAACAACATCCATACCACGGTACGGACAACCAATCCAATGACGACCCTGGAAACCTGAAACCGCCATACCGTAAGCGACCAATGAACCACGGGACTGCGGTGGGGCGCTCGTCAGGAACAGGCTTAGCGTCGCTCCAGAATGCTTTCGTGCCATTGGGTCTGCCGGCCCGGGGAAATAAACATCGCATTGGGACCAGAAAGGAGAGGATCCCAAATTCGAAGAAAAAGAGGAAAGAGAAAGAATACTACTCCTTACAATGGTCGATACATGACACAAGTCTCCCAACTATTGAGATTAACGTAGGATTTGGATCCTTCCCGAGCCAAAAAGGGAACCTCATCCTCCAATGATGCATGGTGCATGCACCGCCCGGGATGAGAACCCCCGATGATCCGAGTTCCTTTCTGAACGGCTTATCGACGCATTGACTCGCGTCGATCAGGACCAAAAACGAGCACCGAGGGAAGGAGAACGGCCGTCGGTCGGCAGTGCACGGAGACCATACCAACCCTGTATCTGGTTCTTGGTAAGAGAGACACGATTGCCCTGTTGGGATCGTGTGGAATGCGCCATGCCGCGCTGTGTTTTTTCTTTTCTTCTTTTCTTCTCCTCTGGCTCGGTTCTGCTGAGACAGGAGGGGAACGGAGTCAATGGGGGCACAGGTGTTTCAGCCTTGACGTGAGCCCCGTTGGTTGACGGATGATTCTGACTGGTTCGCTTGTCACATTCCGGAGAGGTGACACTGCCCTCATTCATACCTCTCGGCAGTGGAAATTGTCTGATGCGAGAGGGGAGGAGGGGGATGCAGGATCAGCATCATATCCGTCCGTCATGACCAGAGGATCGCACGTGGTGTGAAGACCGACTGGGCAGTTTAGTCCAGGCAACCGTTCTAGTGGTCTTGGCCGACGACGCTGGATGGTCTCTGGGACTATCGAGGACAGACTTTCAAATGAGGTCCATTGTGTTTGACTAAGTTCCGGCTAAGGAGGCTTAGGGCAGAGATCCGACGTAATTATAGTACCAGGCGCCCGGCAGATGCATCCAAAGAGGCATTGATGCGACCATGGTAAGGTGGATGGAGCGTGAGAAGAGAACTAACGAGTTGAGTGAGGGAAGCAAAAAAAAGAAAAGGGGGGGGGGGGGCAGATCCCATCTGACGGTGACTCGCTGATGTTGCTGATTTTACGGCGTACATTCTGTTTGATTTTTCGTTGAGAGTTCATTTCGCTCTGATGATGCTGAGATGACTGTGCTTGGGTAATATCTTACCGATGTTACCGTACAAGGACCAACATCCATCCACAGCTCCTGTACGTACTGTACCACATCGTAGACATGCCCAGGTGCATTGGAAATTAAAAATAATAAGCGTACTTGCACTGGCGGTTAACTCCTCTCTTTGTCCGTGTCACCAGCGAGGTAGTCATAATGACCACGCACCGGCAGGAAAGGAAAGCCCAAACCCCACAATCATCCAGGTACGCAACGCGCTAGTGGACGCCGTCGGTCTAGCCCTTGAAATGGTCCGAACCTTGACGGACTGCAGAGGCTGGAAACCATTGGAAAAAAAAGAAAGAAAAAAAGAGGCGGGAATTACGATGAGCAGCGGACACCTGATCGGCATCCTGGTCCAGTGTCACCCTCTGTACAACTGTCCCGCTCCAAGAATGGGTCTTTTTTTTTTTCTTCCCTTTTTACTTTTGATTTTTACTAAGCCACCGATGCAATGCGCACGGAAGAAGAAGACCAAAAAAAATAATGGAGGGAACAGAAAAGGAACTGAAAAGGCAAGGAAACAGCGAGTCAAGGTCGGATCCCTCCCTCCTTGGAAGAGGGGGATTGTCCTCTGACTGGAACGGTTGCAATTCAAAGCAACTCACTCCATGAAGACGGTGATTAATTTCCACCCGCTGGACCGTGGCCGATTTAATTTCTGCGATGGAGAAATGAATGCCCTTCCTGGGGTCCATGCTCGAGGATCATGCCTGTCAGGGTAACTATCGCAAATCGACTTTGATAGTCCCAGAAGTCGCCGTGGAACGCCAGTCCGACCGAATAATCGCACCGTCGAGTCCTCAGGGTCACACGGGATATGCATTAGTTCTGCTTCTTCATTTCTGCAGTCCACTCAGTGGAGATGGAACCAGTGATACCCTGAAGGGTGCGCTCCTCCGTCGTCGTAGGCATTGGAAGAGGAGGATGTAGTAAGTGAGCACAGAGTACAGAGTGAGTATGGACGACATCGACGGTGGATCCGTACTCATACACACAATACACAGTACGCAGTACGGAGGAGTACTTCTACTACTACTACTACTAATAATAATACGGCAGTGGGTCCGATCATCCATACGCTGACGCTGACGTCGTATTTCCACGGCCTCCTCCTTCTTGGCCCCCTGAGAGCACCACACGAACTCGCTCACTCACTCGCTCGCTCCCTCACTCTCCTTCCCTTTCCCAGTCCTTCCCTTCCTTTGTGATTAATTTGGTGTTTGATTTTTTGCTTTTCTCTTTCCCTCTCTCTTTTTCGTCTTTTCTGGTGGTTGGATTCTTGTCTTCACCTCCCTTTCCCCCATTCTGCTTCTCTGGATGGTTTTACTCGCGATCCTGTCGTTGACGTAGCCCAAGATCCATTGATCGCTCCGCTTCTCTTCTACGTCAACGACCTGTTTGGGGACCATTCATCCACTATCGTCTCCTTGCATCGACCGAGAGGGAATAAGCAGGACAACCTCCTTCTTCAGCTGTTTCGTCGCGCCGCCAGGAACATCGTTTGCGTTGTCGACCAGAACAACCACGACCACCCCCCCACCACATTCGTTTTCTCCGTTTCTTGACCTCGTCGTTCGCTCCTTACTCCCACACCTACGTTCGTTAACTGCTTTCGCTGTGAAAAGGAATTCCGACCAGACTGGTGGACCCCTTGCCGCTCTTTGACCTGCGCGTTGTTGTTTTCAGTTTAGATCCGTCGTCAAATCCTCCGTACGAATCGGCTCCAGTCCTCGATCGACCCGCTGTCACTGCAGTTACCAGTCCTCGCCGCCGAGACGTTTTGTCGCAGAGTGATCGCTTGCATTGGTGATTTGGTCGCATAGGAACCATTGGTGGAACAACGCTCCAGCCCTCTGCGCAGACGGACCGATTATTCGAGGGGTTCGTTCGCAGACACATCAAACGGAAAAGACGAGGCCGGGGTAGTGTCGCATCCCCCCTCCTCACCATTGCCCCCCAGCCCCCCTCCAATCTATGAGCCTGTAACGTCGACGCTTTTGACTTCGATAATCGACGCTTGATCTTGCATTGGTCGATCTGGAAGCTCCCGCTTGAGCTGTCGCTCTGTCCATTCCTTCTATATTACTGCCGTTTACCGCTCTTTCCCTTCCCCCCAGTGATTTTATTCTTGACGCCTACATCATGGTGGCCCAGACGGCGTCGATACTGACGGCGTTGCTCTCGCTCGGCGGTCTGGAGCTGGTTGCAGCTCGAGACGCGGTTGAGGAGCCAACGCTGAAGCCCCGGTTCATGCCGAAACACATGAAAAGATTGATCAACTACCAAACATCGGCTGCCCCTGGAGCGTCGTCCAAGGCGCCCGAGACCGTTGAAGTGCCTAGGTCCAACACCAACCTCCTCGATTCGATTCTGCAGCCACCCCAAGCAGCCACCACAGCACCAACGGAAACGCCCGAGGTCGTTGTCATCACCCTGTCCGTCGATGAGGCGGGCAAGACGCATACGTTGACGCCAAACCCGACGGGCACTGCCTCTTCCTCGACCGTGACGAGCTCCGTGTTGACCTCGGAGCCAGCCGCGGCCAGCGCCTCAGCGACCACCACGGGCTCGACTACATCCCAGGCGCCTTCGGACCAGGAGACGACCTCGTCATCTTCCACGGCAGCTGAATCGCCAAAGCCCACGGACGCCTCCACGTCGTCGGAGTCCGTGAGCGAGTCTGGCGCCCCATCGGTGTCCCAGTTATCGTCCACCTCGACGGCGCCGGCTTCGAACGTGGTTGGATCGTCGCAGGAACCCGGTACATCTACCCCAGCGGCGGAGGACACCACTACGGCGTCGTCTTCGAACACAGTCGGATCCTCGCAGGAAACTGGCACATCGAGCACGGCCGTCACTCCGTCCACGACAGCCACGACGACCGGGAACGTGCTGAGTGATCTGGTGAGCAGCCTGTTTGGCGGCTCGTCCAGCTCGGAGAGTGCCAGCTCGGCCCAGGCTACTGATGTCACGAGCGGATCGGTCCCGGCCAGCTCAGTGGTGCCGTCTAACTCGGCCACGGGTGCCAGCACCACCGAGGGCACCTCAACGGTCGTGTCGCCCTCGCAGACCGGTGTGACGAGTTCGACCGAGCAGCCATCGTCGACCCCCGGATTGGTCAATTCACTCTTGTCCGGCCTCCTCTCTGGCTCGAGCACGTCCAGTGTCTCGGAGTCGTCTGCGAACCAGACGACCTCAAGCGAGGTGATCCCAACCGTCTCGGCAGGCTCCTCAGCGACCGGGCCCTCCAGCCATCCGACGTCCACCGACGTCATTCCGTCCCAGTCAGCAGTTTCCTCGGTCGTTTCCCCATCGGCTGCCACATCCTCCGGCCTGTTGGATAGTGGACTCTTGCCGACTCTCCTGCCCACGAACACGGGTAATTCGTCGGAGTCCACCAGCCAGCTCACGTCGATTGATGTGATCCCGACGCCATCCGGTCTGTTGCCCTCCATTCTGTCCCCCTCTGCCGCCACCTCCTCCGGATTGCTGGACACTGGGCTTCCATCTGGCCTTCTTCCTACACCTACGGCCAGTGGAAGCTCCATCGATCTCACGAGCTCTTCGGGTATTCTGCCGACCATCTCTATTAGTATCCCGCCAGCCACGCCCACGCTCTCCGCCGGCACTTCCTCGGGAGTCATCCCAGAACCCAGTGGCATACCCACCAGCGGCGTCATTCCAGGAGCTTCTGGATCCAGCGGATCAACCACATCCAGCCCGGTCATCCCAGGAGCATCCACCGGAACGCAGACCTTCACCCATGGACCGTCCGGCTCGCTCATCAGCCCGGGTGTTCCTACATCGACTAGTGGTGTACTTCCTTCGACTAGCTCGACCGGTTCGACCGGTTCGACTGTCTCCAGTGGCTCGTCTTTGCCCTCGTCTGTCTCGTCGACTCCTCTCATCGGCTCCTCGAAGCCCACCGACCTGCCCACGAGCCAAAGCAACCCAATTTCGACAAATACCCCCACTCCTATCTCCACCACCCTGACCCCGACGAGCACGGAACAACCCAGCACCACGGAGAAGTCGACGGTCACGACCAAGGTCACTCCAACTCCGGAGCCCACCACGACGAGCGATGCCACTGACTGGGTTCCATCGACCATTCTGGTGGAGCCTCCCAGCCCGACGACGGAAAACACGGCCACCCACACCACGGCGACGACGACGTCCACTCAGACCCAGCTCCCTGGGTCCATCTCGCCCGGCAACGTTCCCGTCGAACCTCCCGCTGACTCAACCCTGATTCAGTTGGGATTCAACGGCAAGCTTCGCTACAGCTTCGTGGCCACGACGCCGCTGTCTTCCTCGCAGATCTTCCTTTACATTCCAATTGCGCTGGAGTACGCCCTGGAGATTATCCGAAAGGAGGTATCCATGTTGGCGATCCAGCCCTACGACAACTCGAAGAGCACGGGCTATATCGCGACCGTGGCCATGGCGTACATCCCCACCGACCAGGTGGATGGGCTGCAGAAGATGCTGAACAACCCCAACTCGCGGCTCTACCAGCAGGCCGATGGCTCCTCCAAGGCTCTGATGTCAATGGTCGATCCGTCCATTCCTCTAGTGGTGGGTGAGTCTGGATCCTCCTCGGGCAGCAGTGGATCCTCCGGCTCGAGTGGGTCCAGCGGCAACACCGGCGGCGACAGCGGCAACAGCGAATCGGACCCCAACTCGGATGCGGGAGCCAGCAGCAGCGGCTCGACCCATGCCAGCTCGGTCGGCATTGGCGTTGGTGTCGTGGCGGGAGCTGCCGCTTACGGTGCGGGTATGTTCTGGGTGGCTCGTCGCTACCGCAAGAAGCGTCAATTGCACCAGCGGTCGAGCTCGAATGTCGAACAGATGAGCGAGGGTCGTAACGGTGCGTCTCTGTTCGGAGCGGGTGGCCGTATGTCGCGCAACAGCAACAACAGTCGCGGCACCGGACGGACACAGATGATCAGTGCCCCCGTGATGGCCGAGAACTCGCTCGGATGGAATTAAAAATGAGATGTACATGACGAGGTCCTCTTTTAAAACGAGGGTAGCAAACAACAAGGCAAAACACACACACACACACCAAAATGACACAATTAGACTGGGAGGAATTCGGATCGAATCGATCGATTCTGTGTGGCCCTTGTGGAAGCTATGGCCGTTGATCTTCTAACTGTATTCAAGTTTTGGATATCATTTGTCTTTCTATGTTATTCGCCTTACATACCTTTTTTCTTTTTTTTTCTCTTCTTATTCCCCCTCTGTTTTGGCTTCTTTTTTTTCTCTTTTCTTTTTTCTTTCTCCTTCTTACTCTCCTTGATGGTGACCCAGCGCAAAAGATCTTGCCCCCCACCAAATCTTATTATTTACCGTAAAGATTTTTTTTTATGTATTCTTCTTTGATTTGGACTTCCTCTCCCGCTCTCTAATGTATGGGTGGTAAGGTATCTGTGACGAGTGATGTCGTACTATCCTACACTACCCCCTTGTCCCCTCCCCCTGTCCGTGTTCCTATTGTTCTCTGACTGGATTGATTTTCTTTCTGTCGCTTGTCCATGTGTGTACAGTTGTATATTGCCAGTAGAAAGCGAAATGAGCCATGCGTCGGCATGGATTGAATGATTTTGAGTCTGTTCCCGTTGTGTGAATGTAGGGCGGAATGGTCGGGTCGATGTAGCATCCGGCGGACCGACGAGTATTCGAGGCTGTATCGAGCAGGGTCTACGTCTCCCGAGATTAGTTCCTACGAGACTGATCTGACTCGCTGGACCTGAGCATGCGCTACTAGAAATGACGTCCCGTAGAGGAGCTGATCAAGGCATCGCAAGCCCTCGGACGAATCTGCGACACGGCTAAGGTATGTATGTATGGATGGATGGATGGATGTATTTATGTACATGCAACGTGGAGGAACAACAGAAAGAAAGAGGCACCAACGCTCCCATGCATAAGAAAAACAGATAAGCCAAAATTCGAAGGAAAGAAACCAGGAAACGATGTGCCATGATTACTCCGTCTTCTTTTTCGAGTCTTCTTCCCCCCCGAACCTCAGCAAGGCCAACGGTCCTTTCTGTCCGCGTTCCTCGAGCTCCTTCTTCCGCTCTTCTCTCGCCTGACGACGCCCCTCCTTGTATTCTTCCCAGGAGTAGGTGGTGCTGGCATCGGCGTCTGTACCGGCAATCTGCGCTGGAGGCAGTAGGCGGACGGCGTCCTCACCGGCGTAGGCACGGATGGCGGTGCGGAAGGACCACTCGACGGCCTCGTCGACGGGTTCGTCGAAGATGTACGGGAGGAAGGGGACGACGGAGAGACCAAGCTGGGCGAACGATTCTGTTAGCACTCCATTCAGGTCACAACGCACAGCGAAAAGGAACACTCACTCCAATAGGCGCCCAAGTGCGGAACCACACACTCTTGGAATTCTTCAAGGCGCGGCCCGAGTATTTCACCACGGAATGAATGGTCAGAGCGGGTAGTCCCATACTGGCGATGCTCTGGAACACGGCACGTTTGGCCATGACCACACGGTAATCCTCGATGAGCGGAATCTGGGTCGTGGGCCAGGGCTCCAGGGAATCCGACTCCCCCGTAGCGGAGCGTAACGAGCCGCCAACATTGCCGGTGGCCATGCCCTTGAGGACTTGATCTTGGGTGAGATCCTTGGCGTCCTTGTAGGCCTCGCCGGGCGGGGCGAGCACGCGCCGATTGCGCAGGTAGGCCTTGTAGCCTTCATGGGCCACATCGCCGATCAGGTAAGACCAGGAGATCGCGTAGGCGGAGCGCACCAGATACGGATGAGCGACGGGACGGAAGGATTCGCCTATGTCGGAGGTATAGGCGACATAACGATGGGCGGAGAGTAACACAGTGCGGAGTCGATTGGCGTATCCGGCATATCGGTAGGGAGTGTCGGTAGAATCCACGGAGCTATTGTTTTTGGCCAAATGATGATTCGGTTAGTGAGAGCGTCACGTGCGGACCTGGGTGGGAACAACAACGAAGGAAGGATGTCCGAGCATGTCTGAGTATTCGAAAGAAGCCCCAGATTTGCTGATGGATGCACTGATGTGACGAGGCTCCCGTTTTGCGGGGGAAAGGAAAAGTGTGGGGAAGGAGAAAGAAGAAGAAGAAGAACAACAACAACAACATACTAGGGCGAATAGATATCATCATAGAACCCGTCGTCGTGATCCACGAGTTGCTGTAGTTGCGGAGGCAGTTTCTCTCGGGGGATAGGCTTCTCCGGCGAGTCCTCGGGCTTGGGTTGTGATCCCCAGAGCATGATGATCGTATGGGTTTCGTACTCGTTGTAGTCGTAGGGGCCGTGCGAGTGGTGGTGGTGGTGGTAGTAGTAGTAGTAGTAGTAGTAGTAGTAGTAGTAGTAGTAGTAGTAGTAGTAGTATAGACTGTCCGATCCCGAGACGAGTGAGTAGGAGAGAGACCACGAAGGCGAGGGAAACACATACCGTGGACTAGTCGAGAAGGAGCACGAACAGGGGGAGACTCGAATGAGGGAAGAGGATCGGAGTGGATGTTAATGAAGGAATCCCCAACGTGCCATAGCCGCACACGGTTGCCGGACCAGCTCAGAAGCTCCAGGGGAGGAAGAGTTCACTTCCCCCGAGGTTGTTTCTTCCTGTGGTCCGGATGCGCCCTCATGGCTCTTTCATTTGGGTTCATTTTTTTTCTTTTCTCTTTCCTGTGGTAATTGCGTGGCTCTTCTTTTCTTCCGATTGCGATCCTTGACCTCCATTTACCCTTTGGCCAAGCTGAAGACAAGCAACCACGAAGCATGCGCCCGGATGGCTTCACCGATCTCTTCCGACGTCATGGCCGCGGAACCTCGGATATACCCGGGAGAGCCCCCGTGACGGCTGCTGACTCAGATGCATCTCGGGTGACGATGACTAAGATCGTGTGCATAAGATCGATAGTGACACTAACTACTACTGGGTAGTAGTTATGCTAGTTGTTACTCCTGCGCAGTGCTGAACGGTGGCTGACGCACCAGCCACCGGCCTGCACCGCCCCAGCCTGAGTAAGCCCCTGCAATCCGAAACCCGAACCTCGCCTTTCTTGAGATCATTTCGCTTCACTGCTTCTCCGCCGTTGTTTCGTCCCTCCACTCCCTCGTGTCAATCAACTCCCGTCTACCGTCATCATGGTTGTCTACTACCAGCTCGCCGGCAAGCAGGTCGGCTCCCACGTGGTAGGTCCCTAATGCTGCCTCACCGGCTCCCCCGGTTCCAAATTCTGTTCGCCGCGTGATGGAGCTGCGATGTTGTGGAAGCCCCCCCCGTTGCTGATCCTCTTGTTCTCCTAGCTTGCCATGGGTGTTCTCGGCTCCCTCTTCGGCGGTGTCTACCTCGCCACCCGCGGTGGCTCTCAGCCCAAGCAGGCCGCTCCCCCAATCCAGGCCTCTTCCAAGGATGAGGAGACCTTCATCCAGTATGTCCTCTCTCTCTCTCTCTCCGTTCCCCAGCTCCTTCACGACGGGTGACGTCGCATGCTGTTATGTCTGTTGCAATCGTCTGAGAGCGATGAGCGACGACAGTGTCACTGTGCCAGCATTGAGCTAGTCCACGGCCTGGAAACAGAAGCACCACCCGGCCAACCCGCGATCAAATCGTTCGACGGGAGCCATGAAACCTCGCTAACCATGCGGTCAACCACAGGGACTTCCTGAAGCAAGTGAACGGAAGCGGGGAGGAGAAGAAGAGCGGCCATTAAGATTTCCGAAAGATGAGAAATGAATCGAGGACCGTCCCGGTGTCCACGGAACCTTGACGGCGACTCTCCCTGACTTCATGAGCGTCAATGGTCTGATCCGAAACAGGGATAGCAACTGGGGCGGGCCTTGTATTATGTATCGGACTGCTGGACGGCTTGTGCCAGCAGCGAGGTGTGTGATCTGTACATATAGAGGTATACACCGCATTGAGCTATGTTCTTCTATGCTGGTAATCATCAACAAGAGTTGGAGAATCATGTTCGGTGCACCGTCCCGTTGGTTCCGTAGGGCGGTTCGATCGCCGATCCATGCGTAGTGTAGACCATTGATGGGCGATATTTCTCGTGTACCTTTGCCGCAGCAATATAAACTACTGCTACATACATGATCGAATTCGATTCGACACATCCGCAAAAGTTGACAGAATCTGGCGTCACCCACGGAGTCACCTGACCCCGCTGCCGTAGTTGTTGCGGCAAGAAAGATTCTCTCGATCCTTCTCACTCATCCTCACATCTCCAGACCCCTCACGCCAGCTGCCCTCCGCCGTGACCACCATGAAACCGCTGCCCTTCCCGCTGGCCCTGAATATCGGTACGGACATTGTTCACCTTCCACGCATCACGCGCCTCCTCCACCGCGGCGACTACCTGGCACGCTTCACACGACGCATCCTCCACGATCATGAACAACGTGACTTCCGCACTCGCTTTGCCCTGCCTGCCGCCACGAACCTGCCGAACCCATGCGCGAACCAGAGTACTACAGACATGGCCCGCTGGCTCGCCGGTCGCTTCGCCGCCAAGGAAGCCGCACGCAAGGCCGCGCCAAACGGAGCGGCGAGCCTGGGATGGAAGGACGTGATGGTGCGGGTTAGCGAGACGGATACGGGCAGACCGGAAGTGGTCTACTTGGACGGAGAGACGCCCCGCATTGGGAAGCTGTCCATCTCGCACGACGGGGAGTACGTGATTGCTACGGTTCTGGCGGCCGGATGAGGTTGATCTCTGGGGTGTGGGATGACAATCTGTCCTGCCTGAGATCACAGCTCAGAACAGATGGGGTACGAGCTTCGCGCCATGGGTTCACCCCGCTCGTCGGAGCGGTGGCTACGTGTCCCGCTTACCGGGAGTTGGATTAGGCATTGGGATGGAGGACGAGGTACATCGGTACGTCCACACGTGGAGCGTTCCCGTTGCGACAACCTCAGCGACAGTCCAGCCATGCGATGGGAATTACTACGAGGTTGGCGATATGACGACAGTCAGAACAGGCGCTTAGCACATCTGCAGCCCGCATGTGTCGAGCCGAGGTACATTCCTACCATGGGACGAGAGGACGACGTCCTGTATGGACGGAGTAGCAGTTCAACAGAGAGGTGAATTCAAGACGCTTTGTAGAGTTTATGCAGTAGTCTGTCTGGGTTGATCCGGTGGGACCGGGACAGTTCATGAACCAGTCTTCCGATTAGTCCGCTCATCATCTCCATCGCCCCCATCCTCTTCGGCCAGGATTTCCCATCATCCCCACCACTGTATGCATTCGGTCGTGCGGTACGCGACACAAATCGGGACCTCAGGATTGGAGTGTCTCTCCGGGCGGATTTGATAGCAGTCGTCGAAGTCTCCACGGGCTGCCCGCATCCATCTGAGTCATCGCGGGGTAAATAAAGAGTCTGTCCATTTATTCGGCATCCAAACGACTTCACTCCCTCATCGTCAAATCCCACATCGGCAATGCCTTTCTCACATCACAGCCACTCCGGGCAATTCTGCCCGGGGCACGCCAAAGACTCGCTGGAGGAGGTCATCCAGCTCGCCATCGCCAAGAAATTCCAGGTCTTCTGTCTGACCGAGCACATGCCGCGAGGCCAAGAGGATTTCTATCCGGAAGAGGTACTTCGCCTGACGGTCCACGTTAATCCGCACAGCTAACGGCGGCGGTAGATCGAAGCGGGCAACACGGAGACGGGCCTGGTGGCCAACGAAGCCGCGTACTTCCAGGAGGCGCAACGGCTGCGCGAAAGGTATGCGGACCAGATCAAGATCCTGATCGGATTCGAAATCGACTGGATCCGTGCGGAATCCCGCACGCTCATCGAGGCATCTCTGGCACGTCACCCCTTCGAGTTCTTCATGGGCTCCGTCCACCACACGTTGACGATCCCCATCGACTACGACCGAGAGATGTACGTGCAAGCACGGGATCTGGCCGGCGGTACGGACGAACAGCTCTTCCAGGTGTACTTCGACGAGCAGTATGAGATGCTGCGGCAGCTGAAGCCGCTCGTCGTGGGGCATTTCGATCTGATCCGGTTGAAGAGTGACGACCCCGAGCGGAGCTTTACCCAGTGGCCTGCCGTTTGGGAGCGTATCCTGCGGAATCTGGACTTCGTCGCCTCGTACGGTGGGCTCTTGGAACTGAATTCGGCTGCGCTGCGGAAGGGCATGAGCGAGCCGTATCCCAAGGCGGAGATTTGCAAGGTATGCTGTGCCACCCCCAGGACGATAACGACCCAGGGAAAACTAATGGGTGTAGGAATTCCTGGCGCGAGGAGGTCGTTTCTGTTTGTCCGATGACAGCCATGGGCTCGACCAGGTGGGATTGAACTTCCATCGTGTGCTGGCCTTTGTGGAAGCCGTAGGTATCTCGACGTTGCATTACTTGGATTTGGCGGACGAGCCGGCCGTGGACGACCGATTCCCGCGGACCCAGATTCGGTCAATATCGTTGGAGGAGATGAAGAAGTTGGCATTTTGGCAATAGACGACGGAGTTGACGACGTGTCGATGCTAGATCTAGAGATACCGTTATGCATGTCGGGAGGGAACCATCCCAGGCTACCTTCTGTAGCTACTTCTCACGTTGTTCCCCGTTGCTGTGTGAGACCCTAACAACCATGGCCCAACCACGACAGTGGTAGGGTTTGTCACCCATGCTTGAGAAAGTCTTTCATCGCTGAACCCAAGTTTTGCCTTCACCTAGCCAGCAGTTGGTGACATAACTGTAATGCCAAAGCCCGTACTTCTGTATTTCTCGGTTCTCATATTACGGCCATGACCGCTAATGCGAGGCCGCGCGACATGGATTAAATCAAGGATAGAAAGCCACCGTCGAAGTGACCAGAGAGATATGATGGGGCAGACGACCCAGTCGGTGACCTGTGTAGACTACTCGAATTTGCGAGTCGTTTAGCAGTCTTCTATGACAACAATGGCTAGATTCCCAGCAATCCCGGCGGATGAGCGCACCCCAACCACGAACTTCATTGAGCAAAGCATTCGACAAACCTTCTCTCAAATGCCTTCACACCTGGAATGGCACGATGCTTCTGGCGCGCTCCTGGGTACTTATGCTTCGTTGCCGTACGTTTCGCTTCCAGAAGATGATCTTCCCACGGTGTGATTGGGACGAAGGCTGATGTGAGGTTAAACAGTTACACGGAGGATCTGGCCAAGCCATGGTTCAACCTTGCTTTTGCCATCACTCGGCAGGAGAGATTCACGATCAAGGAGAGAGAACGCGTAATCCTCGCAGTTCTGACCGAGTATGACGCGCCGTATGATCATGAGCTCCCTCGTCGCAGCGGTTGAACTCGGGCCTATCAGCAAATTCTGAGTATTATTCTCTTCGATAGAACTGACTCGGGACTTGAAGGCACTCTATTGCGTGGTAGAATGTGATCTTAGAAGGAAGAGCGGAAACAGCTGGTACATCAACATTCCGGTTTATGTTCACTGACGACAATGCTCACTGAGGATAATTCCTAGATCTTGCAAGAGGCTTTCTCACCATGTGCTGGTTGGCGATATCGCTCAAACATATGCTTTGGGTTTATAGGTTGGATGAGCCTGGATATGCAAGCTGTCAGCTTGTGCCACTGCATGATTCAAATTACACATGAAGCGCCAGCTAAGACAGCCCATCCGGAGATAATTCAGATACTGCTGTCCAAGAGCTTTTCTGGTTGTTACCTGTGTAGGGGCCGCATGATCAATCTTCTGCATGGTGTGCTGAAAGAGAAATGGCTCGTGTAATCCATAATATGTTAAAAAACAGTGACGAAGTCTATAAAGCCCTTACACTGGCCGGATTTCCAGTGGCTTTAGTCAAAGCGGCTCCCGAACTGCTCCCTCACGCAGTTGCATTCATTGATGTGGGCCATCCGGAGGAATTGCATTGATCCTGACAATCGCCAATGGTATTGGATCGGGTGACTGATAGGATTGCAGATGTGCTGCTGGTGAGCAACGTCATCTAATAGGCAATTGCCAAGGGCCAAGACATCGCTCTTTGCCACTTTGAGTGCTATCAACTGGGGGAGATCTCATGGCCATTATACAGAGCATTGACCACAGGTTTTAGCAACGGAGAAGCTTTGTGTTTAGTCCCTGTTCGAGAAACGAGTACAGGTGATCCGCTTAGAGGGATACCAACCGCCGAGCTTCGTATATTGGTCTCTGGTACCGAGCAGAGTAGTGCTATCTCGGTGCGGATCACACGACGCCCGGTGCTTCCTTGGAAAGCAAAACACCAATTTCGCTCTGAATCTGTCTATGTCCAATGCCTCTCAGTCCCAAATTCTCTCTGATTGCTCTTGAATTATCTCCCGGACATCCGCTTTGATTCCAACCGACTGGACATGGCTATCTAGCCCTAAGACAGTTATGATGTATCTACAATCCGGCAAATACAACTGGGATCTAGAATGAGGTTAGGATCTATGGGAACATCCGAGCCAGGGTGTAACTCGTGCATCCAACTTCCTGTCGGCTTGTTCTTGCCCGAGACCCTGTTGATGAGCAGCAAAACGTGGCTTCGTTCACTGGGTGCAGGGTGACATCCCCAGCTCTCTTTATCTCCACTCTCTGCTCCGCATCACCTCACCTTCTTCGTAAGGGATAGCTCTGGCTTGACCTGCTAGCTGAACTCTATCATGCGCTCGGGTTAACATTTCCCGTGCATCCCCGCATTTGTGCTAGGCGTCGATTCCTTAAAGCTATACTCCGCATACAGCTTGAAGGAACGCTGCCTCAGTGGTATATAACTTCCTTCAGGACATTGCGGACGTTCCTCTACGTTTTTCCTACTATAGCCGAACAGTCTTAATTCCCGGCTACTATTATCTCACTATGTTGCCTTTCAAGACTGTATTCTCCGCTATTTTCTTGGCTGTAGGAGGTTGGTTAAGGGTTCCTTAAAACCAGTTCTCCATACTTAAGCTCGTCACTAGGCTTCCTCTTCGGCTATGATAGCGGTATCATTACCTCCACGATCTCACTGCCCGCATTCCAAGAGTACTTCACCAACCCCAGCGACACCGTCACTGGTGGTATTGTGTCCGCATTCCAGGGAGGCGCCATTCTCGGTACAATGGTGAACATGGTCTGCGCGGACTGGTTAGGTCGAAAGCGGACAATCCTGGCGGGTTCGGTTATCTCCTGTCTAGGCTGTGCACTACAGGCTGGCGCCGTGAGCATGACGATGCTTATTGTTGGCCGCTTCATTGCTGGCATGGCTGTGGGAATGCTCACAGCCACGATTCCTATGTACGCCGCTGAGTTGTCTGAGCCAAAGTGGCGTGCCACCCTTTCCGGGTTGCTTCAATGGATGTTGAGCTGGGGCTTTCTTGTTGCCCAGTGGCTTGGATACGGCTGTTCCTTTTCCTCTACAGAATTTTCATGTAATGTCTCATTCCTGAGTGAGATCAACAGAACATACTGACTGAGTCTAGGGAGATTCCCGCTCGCCTTTCAGAACATACCCGGTCTGATTCTAATTGCCGGCATTTGGTTTCTCGATGAGTCGCCGCGTTGGTTGATGGAGAAGGATAGATATGAGGAGGCCAAGGCAGTCCTTACACGGCTTCGAGGTAATGCCTCTCCTGGCCTAGTCGAGCTGGAATTCTGCGAGATCCGAGACGTCATTGACGCCGACCGTGCTGCTGGCAATACCTCGTGGAGGACAATCATGACGAAACCATCCTGGCGTCGTCGATTGATTCTTGGGTGTGGTGTACAGGCATTTGGGCCTCTCTCCGGCATCAACGTGATCAATTAGTCTGTATCCAAGTTACTCGACATGTTTAGACCAGCCCTAACCTCCCTAGTTACGGACCTCGAATTTATGAGATCCTGGGTATCGACAACAATCAGACTTCGCTCATGATCATTGGGATCAGCGGAGCTCTGTCCATCGTGTATTGCACCATCTGTCTATACCTCGTGGACAAGGTTGGACGTGTTAAGCCGCTGATTGTTTCTGCTGCGTTTCTCGCCGCGTCTCTGCTCGTCAACGCCGTCCAAGCCCAATACATGGACGCCAATAACCCACACCAGCTGCGGTCCATGGTCGCCATGAATTTCGTATTTAGTCTCTTCTACACTCCGCTGGGCATCATTTCCTGGGTAGGCATTCATTCCTGCATCCAATGCTGCCTCACCCTAACCCACTATCTCCTAGGTTTACCCGGCTGAAATTTTCCCCGTTGAGGTGCGCGCGCTGGGGAATGCCCTCACCACCTTCACCAACTGGACGGTCAACTTGATCTTCGCACAGTTCACGCCTGGTGCGCTGTCCTCAGTGGGGTTCAAGTACTTTTACCTGTTCTTCGCGCTGAATCTGATCGCGATGACTTGTTACTACTTCTTCTATCCCGAGACCAAAGGGCGCACTCTGGAGCAGATCGATGAACTGTTCGGTGACCAGCTCGTACCGCACGCCCTGGAAGATCCCGTCGGTGCACAAGCAGCCATGGAAAAGGAGGCACAGGTGGCCCACGTAGAGAATGAGGGACGGGAATGACCTGGAGGCTAGTGGCGGTTAGGTTTTTGATTCGGTGGGTAAATATGGCGAGGAACTAGATACTTAATGCGTCGTTTGGGCAAGTGAAGACAGCCCGGCCACTTTTCTCTCTTAGCCAAGTAGATTTATTGTCTCGGCTAGAGTCTGGGTAAGCCAGAGTGCTCTCGTATCTCAGGAGTGCCAGTGCGGGCACTAAATGCCTGCAGCGGCGAAAGACCAATAGGCGTCGGAGAACGCCGCCGCCGCTCAAAACCCTAAAGCGATATCGAGGCGATTAAAGACGCGTTGGGTGTCTAATGCGGGGGTCAAAGACCCCTGAGCAACCGTTAGGTCAATCAATGGCATTCCCATTCAACCTGAATAGAAGCTGTATGTATGGACGGCAATGTGCCGGGTTTTCGCGGCCTGCGAGGGCTCCGCTTAGAAAACGTAGCTCTGATGCAGGCGAGAGGAAGTCTCGGAAGACCATAGCACACATCGGGGCAGCAAATGCTATTTCTAGACTATCGAACCTAAGAGGTCGAATGTACCTTTGGGTACGCACCCCCATCTTCGCACCAGTGGGCCATAATGCATTTTCTTGGTTGTGTTGGGTCGTGGCTTTGCCATCATCATCCCCAGGTGGGAAGTGTGATGCACCTCTGTTAGTATGCCTGTCCTGTGCGGAGTGTGATATGTCGAGGACACTTTATTGGTCTAATGCTGCAGCATACCTCCGAGAAGACCAGAAGTCCTTTCATTCTACAGGATTGGGTTGTAGCGAGGGCTTTAATCAAGTGATGTACGCCTGGCGTAGTTGAAGACTTGTCAGTGTTCCAGGCGATTGCGTGGCCTGCTTTACAGCAGCCCATAGCAGTCTCCATACAGAGAACGCCCCCCGCATAAACAACTGCATCTGGCAACATGGAGTAACCGACCGGAAGGCTTTGCTTTCTTGGGAAGCCATGCTGTGGATGATTCCTCTGATTTGGAGGCAGTAGAGTGCTTTACCGACGTGGCTACGAAGGTCCAAGCGCTTTTGCTAATGCAATATCGGCTAGATATCGACCGAGTGTGGACGATTGAAAGCTACTATCGTAGATGAGACGAAATGCCAATACGCCGTAATGATACACCGAGAGAGATGCAGCATTACAGCTGGGCTGCTGAGCTCCAACTAGCTATGGAATGGCCGTGTAGGGATCCCTAGATACTCTGAACAGCTGTAGGTGCTGGAGAAATAGAAGATATAGCATACGTTCATACTACGAGCAGCTATTTATTCTTACTGCTGACAAATCTTTCTTTTGCTTCTGCAACTCGTGAAATTTCATCATGAAGCTTCGTATTTTATTACATGACCTCGCTCTAGTTTCCTCTGCTTGCTCTACCTTCCCCTTTACTCCACGAGCTTGGAAACCTGCTTCCCTGGAGGATATTGTGACATACGATGTAGACCCTCTTTGTCAAAAGCGAACGTATCTGCGCACTCGTGGGAGAATATGCTCCATTTCGTCGTCCTGTCCCTAGTGCCTGGCTCGACACCTTGACAGAGTAAAAGCTCTCGGTTTTAACTCTATCTCGTTCTACGTGCCCTGATTCCTCGTTGAAGAAGAGCATGGGGATTTTCTGTCGAAGGCGTCTTTGATCTCAAATAATTGTTCGACGCAGCCACCCAAACAGGCATCTACCTTACAGCCCGTCCTGGGCCGTACATCCACACCGAAACGTCAGGCGGAGGTCTCCTTGGGTGTTTGCAGAGAGTAAAGGGCCTTCTGCACACCACTGCTCCTGACTATTTGGCTGCAACCGATAACTGCATGGATCACATGTACAAGATCATTGCCTATAGACAGATAACAGGCGGGCCTGTGATGCTCGTCTAACGAGTACCCCATGCGTGAGAGCGAGCGAGGCATGGGTCCAGATGGAAAAGTACGTGCGATAACTCATCGGCAAATCTCGCGATGTTGGTATCGTTTCTCTGATAACGAGTAATGACACCAACAACAACGGTTACAACGCTCCGGGAACTGGCTTGCGTGCTGTCGATCGCTACGGTTATGGCCAATATCCCATCAGGGTGGGATGCTAGAATCTATACGACTGCTACTGGAATTCACACCCTGCATTGAGCCTAGGTACTCACACCTCACCGCAGAATTACAAACTTGAACCTCTAGTGCATGGGACGAGCCTGGATATTATCATTGTACCCCAGCTAGTACGACGTGGTCTTCAACAATCTTTATGCTTCCGGCGTCAAAAACCTTAGCCTCTACTCCACCGGCGGTGACACGAACTTGGGAAACCCAGGATACCCTAAATTTTACGCCAGCTACGATCTTGCAGCTATGATTGTTGAGGATGGCACTGTCACCTGTGAGAAATGTTCCGAAGCTAGATTGCAAGGTCAATTTTTCAAGGTATTACTGAACTACTACTCTGCACGATCTGTCAAATCAGATTCAACCACCTTCATGAACGACCCGATACTCAGAGTGACCCAACTCTCATCAGAACGGACTGGCCTCCATTTCTGTTATTTGCCATACTGCATATGAAAGCTACGATGTTACTCCTTATAAGACGAGGTTACCAACCGGACACGTCAAGGGATGATCGTAACAGGGACCCGTGGAGTAGACCAATTTCTGCAGGATCACAGTATAGACCATAGTGAGGGTGAGAAGTAGGAACTCGCTCGGAGGATCTGGTATGAACCCTGCATACATGCATTGATGTACTCATTTCATTCCGACAGGGCTCGGAATATAACCCTAGGGTTCATCCCGGGCGGAGTAAATCTGCGATTAGTAACCAGCAGGAACTCCGATTTCTCTTCCACCTTCTTGACCATGACTACCACTGATAACCCAGGAATAAGTGAATAAGGCGATGCTCAATCACAGAGTCTATCTACCATGAAGAACATCTCTAGGGGCATGGTCCGGAAGAATGGTAAACCAATCTCCTGCGAACCGTGTCGTATCTCCAAAATCCGCTGTGACCATCAACAACCGACGTGTAGACGATGTGACATCAGGGGTTTGAGCTCTAAGGCATGTACAAATTCTTCTGATCCTGGCTATAGAACCTGAATCTGGACGTTATACCAGGGCCAGTGAGGCGCGGACTGACAGTACCAGTGCTACTATCATCCGGCCCCTTTAACTCGACCACGGAAGAAGGCACAAGCACCTCGCAGTGCGTCTCCCGTCAACCCATCGCGTGTGGACGATGAGGCCTTGGACGCCTCTGCTAGCCGGGGTGACGGGATCGTACCAACTGGGCCTCAGATGGGCTTGACGTCTACCTCCCAGCCGACTTATTTGGGATCCACTAGTTTTATGTCAGCGTTTCACCATAATCAACGGGATATGAGCCTTTCAACACCGAAAACAGCCCATGCATCCAGCCTGCGCAAGGCATGGAGTGCGGACTTCACGCACGTGCTTCCCCGGCTGGTACAGCTCCTGCGTCCCCTCAGGCTCTATGAAGATTTAATAACCGACAAATACCATCGAAGCCCATTCACCGTCATCCCAGCTCCTCTTGTGCTTACGCCCTTAAGATTGCTTCGTAACCACTGGGACAGGGAGGGATGGCCGCAAGAGGGCTTGGGATCCCGGATCACTCAGAACACAGCCACCAAATTGATCAAGGTGGAAACGAATATGACAACGGACCAGTTTTACCGTTTGTTCACGGGTGCGAATCTGCGATGGGAGTTTGTCGGCCTCATATTCGCCCTGGCGGGGCTCGGTGCCAGCATATCCTCTTCCTCCCCATTGTTCTCTCTGAACGGCAAGGATGAAATCAGCTCAGAAGCCTTTGCCATGGAGATGGCAGCTGCAAGTCTTGCATGTATTGAAATCTGCAGGCAGTACGACAATGTGAATGACTTGGTCGTTTGGCTGCACTACACGTATTTCGTATTAGGATCAAATATAGATGGAGAGACAAGTAATACCAATCCACTCCATAAGGGTGGCGCGCAATGCCCAAGGCTAACAGAGAATAGACCATCATATTTACGCACAATTTGGGGACTTGATCTCTTGCATCCATGCCATGGGCCTACACCGCCCACATCCTCCTGACTCCTCCATTCCATTCTTTCTCTCGCAGACCCGCAAGAGGGTTTTCGCAGCGTCATATCGAACCGACAAGAATCTAGCTACTTTCCTGGGAAGGCCACCTCGACTTCCCTATCATTATTGCGACGTGGAACTACCCTTGGATCTCGACGACCATAGTCTCATCCTGGATCGCCTTTCCCTCGACAAAGCTGTCAGGCAGCTTACCCCGGATGGATGGGGTGCTTTCAGCGGTGGTCTTCGCCCTGCCACAGTCATCCGGTTGCGATATATGATTGCGAGGTTGCGAGAGCAGGTGATGGAGCTGTCCTTGGGGCGGGCCTCAGTTGGTTCCCGAGAACATGAACTCCAGTAGGATAATAGCGGAGACTTCTCGCTCGATATGGTGAAGCTAATATGCCTGTAGGATTACCTATCAAGAGTGTAAGCGACTGTGGGATAGAGTGCCCAATGAATTCCACTACAGCAAGCGCTCCTGGGAGGTTCTGGGTCCGCACTTGTCCATAATAAGTCTGGTCATCCATCTGGAATATCTTTATACGGTGTTTCAGGTCGAGCGTATCCGTTGTGGTGAGAGTGCCGATGCCATGGCCGATCTCCTGGACTCGGCCATGCAGATTGTCTCTGCAGTCACGGACTTTGCGAAGCAACGTGATCAAGAAGGCAGCATCCGAGAGCAGTACACGTGGATTGTAAGTCATTATAACCTGTCTGCATCCCGTTACCTAACCTATCGGAACCCATTAGTTTCTGTTTTATGCTCTCCCGGCAGCAGGTGTCGTTGCAACCGAACTCCATCGTTGCACGGTGTCCATGGTGCCACTACCATGTTCCATACCCCGGTCCAGGATCATCCGTGATCTAAACCTGCTTGCCTCCTGGTTCGAAAGTGCTAGTCCACCGACTAGTTACACACATCAGGCGTGTGTGGAAGTCACCCAGGTCATAATCAAACTCTTAGATGATACTTTGGACTACCCACCAAGCGGGCAGATGGCACATGGACCACAACCCGGTACAGGCAGTCGTCCTACGCCGAGCAGCGGTGATCGAGTTCGGGAGAGTTCTCATTCGATCGGGGTGTCCTTAAATGTGTACGAACAGAGCGAGACCCTACCAAACGTAGATACCCTTGAAACCAGTGAGGATTTCTTGAACTGGCTGGATGAACTGGGGCTGGAAACCAGCGTCCCTGAGTTCTTTCGGTGGCAGTAGCATATATTAGCCATCACTGAGTTCCATTTGGGCCCTCTGAGATATGCAGGAACATGGATTGTACCTATTATGTCCACTGTCAGTCTCCAAGGCAAAGGCCCAGCTGATGCCCACCCTGTTGATCAGCATCTCACCGTGACTGGCTTGGGTGGGTATAAGCTGTCCAGAGAAAAGGGACGGCGAAACCATGTTTATCTTATGACTATAATAATTGGCATAAAGTAATGAGAATTGGCACTAAGATCATTTATACTCGTCAGGTCAACCCTGCTCTACCCAACGCATAGACAGTCCATTGTCCTGGAGCACTCATTCTATTGTATGACGCCAATCACGTCGAATAACGGCCATATTACGCAAAAGATCTGCCCATCCATTCGTCGAACAAATTACCAGCACTGAGAGTATCAAATGGGACGAAGGCTTCCAGTAAAAAATTCATCGCTCTCAATAAAAAGTCTGGTAAGGCACTCCTAATTCTAATTAATAAAGCCGCTTTAGAATGCGGCAGTGTGTTAATACATTTCGACGAATGACCTGAATAGGTTCAAACCTGTCACGCTTGGTCTGGATTTGTATGGGAAACGCCAAATTCAGCAACTGGTGATGCGGCCAACTGCTTGGTACGGTAGCTGAAATACCATCCACTTGGACTGCATGGTCAGTCACTGAATGCTGACGTCCTAAATAGCTTCAGCAAATTTAATGTTGATAATGCTCGATTAACAACCCGTGTTCGTGCATATTTCCTTGTGGTTGTCAACTAGGTCTACTTCTACACTGGTAGGACCGCATACCTTCTGAAACATTAATAGAGTCATGTCCTGACCGACCTCCTTCAATAATAGGGAGGTCACTATCAGGTCCTTGACAAGAAATCAGTTCTCCACGGAACATTGAGACAAGTGTTTGTGGGAATTGATTCTTTGATCCACAGTGACAACAAGTCGTGATTATTTTGACGTCGACGGCATATGCAGCTGGTTTGTTATGGTTTCCCCTATACAACTACCCGGGATGATCCAAATTGGGAACATCAAAGGGGACATATCGATGATCGTGATCTATATAATCATCCAAGTCAGCTGCAAAGCGGCTTCAGGCGGGTCAGATGGTTCATCGGTTCAATGATCTGCTGCTCACTGGCTTCACCAGCTCAGACACGATTGTTCCATTGGTTCGGCTGTCGATTTCAGCTCTGGGGCCTTAACTGGTCCAAGTGGATCTACCGTGACCATCGTTAGGACGGTCGTTCACAATGGTTTACCTACTATTGTTCTAGTTAGGGCTAGCCTTCTTCTAAGGATGACGCACTTAAGGAGCGTTATTTAAGCTCACAATTGGAATGTGTCCCAGCTGAAAGCAGGGCCTTATAAGCTTTCCTGATTATAGCTTTCGCTAATTCCTCGCTCACTATTCCTCATCACGATATTGGAGAAGCTGGCTTGGTCATTTAGGCGTCAACAGGCCGCCAAGGCGTTGACCAAGTGCGCTTCCATTAACTCCACACATAGACCGGGATCTTCCCGTTGCCCCCACTGGGTTAAGACAAGAAGGTATGTAGGGTTCCATCTGAGACAAAGACAAAGACCGGGAATGATGCCTGGGGTCAGCTTTTGGAGCATCTGTGTGTTGTTGGATTTCGGTGGAGGGAGAAGAATCCACGAGTGTTGTCACAGTCGGTGTATGGGGAGAAGAGCCATTGTATCTACCATTTGGGTATAGCAGTCTCAGCGGATAATCGAGCTCAGTGAAATGAAGGGAAAGAATCGACAGTTACTTATTGATGTATGGTACTACCATAGGCTGCTGGAGTACGTACCAGGGCTTGAGGTCACATGCTAGGATGAACCCCAGTCCCATCCCAGTAGTCATACTACTACTAGTAGTACGATCAGGTATAAGTAGTTAGTTACTACTTCAAAGCCTATGTTCCTTAGATGCTGTTCCTCATCCCCACCCATATTGAATCATCCAACACCCAAAACTTGACAAACATGTCCTCGAATAACTTCCGTATTCTGATATGGCTGCGATCTCCCTAGAACTAATCTGGCTTTCTTGCACCCACGGCTCTTTATTACACTCATCCTCCTGGATCCGGTCATCCAATTGACCCCACCAACCATGGGCTTTGGAGCCCTTGGAAGGCTATCATTCCCATAGGCTCAAGCGTGACGACCCACGCTACGAAGCGTTTGGGGGGAGCGTACCTGACAGGACTCCCTGCACTCTGCCTTGGAATGATGCACCTCCTTTGTGGTTCATTATAGAAATACCCTGTCTGCTATGTAGCCTATATTTTGTCAAGGATGCCACTACTCATACCCCGCTTCCGAACGATGAGATCGAAATTGAAAGGCGCGAATGGGTGAGCTTCAAGGGCTGCTTGGTTGCTCTAGGAAGAACTCCAGGAGACAAATTAGGAAATGAGTGTGCACGGATTGCCCGCAAGGTTGCAACAGTTGCCTCCAAGCGCAAGAAGGACTTTCGCATATCATACTACAGTATACCTGCCAGTCATATCTTCTAGAGCAGGGACATGTCTTTTCCCGTGGGTATCAGAAGTTACACTGGCACCCGTAGAGTGGACGTCGTACTGAATTCACTCGCGGGCGACAGCGTTCAGGCTTCTTGGAATGTTTGGCGCCATACGGACGTTTCGAGGAAATCGGGAAGACAGATACACGCGCAAATTCTACCCTACCAATGTTGCCTCCTAATAAAGACGTCATCTCTATATGTGAAGGGCCAATCTAGATGATTGAGCGTTCACTAGAGGCCCAACCATATATAGAAGTAGTCATGGGTCTTTTTGCGGAGAGTAAGCTGAAAATCACAAAACCGTTGGCGGTCCGCAGTATTGCAAATATCGACTAGGCCTTTCCCGAGCGCATTGAAGGCTAAAGCATTGGGAAAGCCGTCTCATAAGACCAAGAGGAGGGCTTTTTCACCGGAAAGCCTGGAATGTTGAGACAGCAAACATGAAGAAGAGTCCACATTGAGCAAAAGCTCTAGTCCGTATGTAGAACTATCCAACCTAGGTTGGGTATGAATGTGAAAGAGAACAGTTCTCACGTCTGGAATTTTCCTGTATATGCCAGTCCCCATGGTGCTTCGTCATCTGTGCTAAGCACCATAAAAGTGTCATACTCGGGAGCAATTTTGTCTTACAGAGGTCGAAGCTGGGCGCGACCATAGCTTTCCAACAGTGATCTTCGGCCGATGCCTGATTTATCCTCAACGTAGCTTGTGAACATTATGCCAATTATCTTTAGAAAGGAGATGACCTTTGTGTGCCAGTTCAAAGCAACACAAAGAGCGGACTGTGCTTACTGCTACGGAAAGAGGTACAGCCTTCACCTGCCCAGACAGTTTGATGCCGTTTTTCAATTTGGAAAAAGTTCTCTGGGAGCTCGATTGCTATAACTTCTGCTCCATGACCAAGTAGAAGTGTCTGGGTTCGCTCCCATGCAGCTCTGTGGCTAGGACCGGCTTTGACCAGAGATGCGTATTTGCAAAAGCAATCTTGGCTTTGTCCGCGAAATGGTGATCAGGGAATTGGTGTACCATCAGCCAGATCAAAACGATAGCCAAGGTCCTCTACACTGCGGGTGAACCCCCCCACGGTATCACAACTTATTGAATAGTTGAATTGATTCTTCTCATGTCTATACATAGAATAGTGATCGGTTCGCTTTTTCGTCCATAGCAGCTACTATACTAGACTAGAATTATCCATTACATGGTACTGAACTTGATGCTGGAGAATAAATTAGGGCATGTGCAGTAATAGGACAACTCTTGTCAGTTTTCCTAGGTTTTGGAATTTCTTCTCATTTCCTAAAGACATATTTTTGTTATTTCTTATCTTATTACTGGATTCGCTTCTAGGGCGATTCCAACCAGTCACCTTGCAAGAGAGCAGAGAGACTCCGAGGAAACACGGATGGTCGAACTACCAGGCCAGGCAACGCATAGATGGAAATCTAAGATGTCGAGGAAGGAGTAGTAGGGTCAGCAGAGGGACTAGATCTGTCTCATGGACAATAGTTTGGATGCTAGAGGCTGTGGAGATATCAAGCAATGAAAGGCCTGTCCCACAGGTCTGATTCTAAATACTTCCTACAGTCAATATAACAAACCACCTCTGCTATCACTCCCGCATTAACATAAGAAGGCCAATTGTTCTTCATAAACATTAATCTATACAACACGGTGTGTCCTGGATATCCCCAAACCACATTTCATGCATCAGATCATATCACGCTCCAGAAACCTTGCATCAAATGGGCCTCGTCATCAGCACCGCCTTCTCATATACCATGTCGAGGTATATCCGTGAAGCACTTACATACAAAAGTCTTCATGAGTTGGCGTTCATCATCTGTTACGACCTGCTGATGACTGGGTTTAAGACGGCCTGCCAAATGGTGGGGATCTCTTGTTCCTACAAGTCAGGATCCCACTCGCCACGGCGGGTGTGACTCTGGGTCTGGCTCCAATTTTGCCGATACTGGAGACTTTGTAGTATGTTCCTGGGCTATGGGGGGTCTAGATGTTACAGGGGCAGTTCAATTGCTCAAAGTATGCTCCCATCCTCCGCTTTTGAGTATCATACATGATAACCATCGTGTCTCTTGGTTGTTAGGCCATATTGAAAAGTGGAGGTCAATACCTGATTCCTAGTATGATAAATTTACAATCCGAAGCAGAGGCATTTGAGTTCACGTTGAACCAAAGCCGATGTATAGGCTTTGACCTAATGCAACTACTTCATCTCGGTTATCAGGGTGGCGTAACCCTAGTGTAAATGAGATCTTACAAGAGCAGCAAAAGATCTAACCACATTACAATATAATAAGATTGAAAGACTAATTCAAAAAATAAAAATAAAAGATAGAATGGAAAGAGGTGTACAGCCACTAAGCTTTAATCGCAAGCATCGATATCAAGTCCATATACATCTCGTCAACACCATCGGACCTCCCGGGTTGCGAGACTGGCCCTCACCATTAATAGACTACTGGAACTTCCTTCCCTCCACCTTGACCACCGGCCCATCATAGTACTTCCTTGCATATGTCCAATATACAATTGTCGAGATGCCCATCAACCCCACGAACAACACCGACGCCCAGTTGAAGTTTTCAGCATTGACATCGTACGCGTTAGGCCAGAAACTCCAGAAGAAAGACCAGCTGGCATACACCATGGCCAGGATATTGACGGGCATACCAAAACGTCCCAGCGTCCATCGGGATGGTGGAAGCGGTGGATCACGGGAGATGCGACGAGCAATAATACAACCGATAGAGATGAGATAGGTCGCCATCAGCGCGGTGGTCGATAGAGAGAGCATGGCATTGAAGGCGACGGTTGAGCCGATGTTGATGAGAGACATTGCCATGGAGAAGAGACAGGTGACAATGATAGAGTTGACCGGGATATGTAGTCGTGGGTGGACCTGCAGGATGCTACGTGTGAGTTATAACGAACAACGGCCGGACACCGGACTAGGGCTGGTGTGAAACCTACCTCTCCTAGCCAGTTTGAAAACGGCAGGCCGTTATCGCGGGCAAAGGCAAATGTCTGACGCGAAGCCGATGCCAGCGAGCTAATCGTGATCATGACAATCAAGACAAGGACAATCACAACAAGTATCGTAGCACCGGCGGTATTATCAATCGCCTGGCGGAAGACATAGATAAAAGGGAAACCCGTGGGAGAGTCGAGAGCACTTTGCACGTCGGGCATACAGAACAGGTATGTGACGAGCAGGCCAAACGCGAAAGGGATGTTCAAGAGGAACGCCCAGATCATCGACTTGGGAACGATGACGCTGGCATTTTCAATCTCTTCCGCTACCGGAAAGTCAGTAAGAAGCTCTGTATGATGTGCCAATCATCACTTACACATGTGTGCGACAGAGTCAGACCCTAGACAGGTAGAGCGTACGTATTAGCTACTCGAGTCGGCTATTTTTTTTTTGAGCATGTGGATCTCACCCAGCACAACAAACATGCAAGATACCTGGCCGACCATGACCGTCCATGAGACGGATGGCCATCCGGACCCATAATCTGTAAACCCAGTGAAGACATCTTCTGCCTTGGCCTTCGGGGCGAGGACGAGCAGGGTGACGATCACTGGGATAAAAGCAAAGAAATGACAGGTAACGAAGATCCCTTCCGCCAATGGCAGATGCTTCGCACCGAAGATGTTGAACAACGACATGCCGATTGCGGCAGCAAAGACAAGCAACGTTCCCTGCCAGCGTGCTGGAAAGTACGTGTCGTCATTCAGTGAGATGAGGCCTTGCACGATCGTTCCAGCCAGGTAAGCATCAAGGGCGACGATGCTCTGCCAGGATATCGTTGAGAGCCATCCTATTATACTCAGTCCGGGCCGGAGTTGAGGATCATCTCATCTACAATGGACTTACCGGAGGCATAACTGAGGAATTTCTGGTAGGCCCGAGGAGCGAATTCCGAAACCCACTGGCAAACATGTCAGCGGAGTCGAGTGAGTGAGTTTCGCGATCCGCGACTTACATGGTACTGTCCACCCGCGGTGGGTGCCCTAGTCACGGTCAGACCAGAATCACAAGAGCCGTCGCCATACTTACATGGAAGACATCTCCGCCATGGAGAGCACGATGAAGAGCTGCCCGCAGTAGGCCCATACTAAGGACCAGAACAGAGCAGGTCGTCCGCCGGCTGTCAGACCGGGAGTGTTGGAGCTGGCTTCGCATTAGCCTGCAGTGCTAAACAAGCATGTACGGCCGGGGGGGGGGTTGTACGTCAATAGGATCTCCCAGGTGCCCATGACGCAAGTCGTGAAACCGATGGTGCTGGCCATGCGAAAGTTCCTCTACATGCTCAGTCAGTCCTGTCGGAAAGCCACACATCCCGAGATAGACAAACCCGTAACTCCTGCTTCTTGCCCATGCGCTGCATATCCCGCTGATCGTTCACGGTGAAGCCTGCCTTGACATCGTCGGACAAGTCGGGGTCAAGAGAACCATTTCTCTCTTCTACATGTGGAGAACGGGCTGAGCCGATCTCCTTCAATTCCAGCTGTCCACTGGATAGCATCTTGAGATATAGCGCACCTACAGCAAAGGTAAGAGAAAGGGGAGAGTTGGTAGAGAGAGGAGGGTTATGGTTGAGTTTGCCTTTTTTTTTCATATTCTTCTCTGGCAGCTTCGAGTCAAATCATAATGGGGCTAGTTACATGTACGTAAATGGCGCCAGAGACTCCCAGGTAAGGATGAAGGGCTGGGACAGGGGCTATAGTGGACCTTTTCCTGTCAAAGTTGCGCCAAAACGGTTTTAACAGTCTAGGCCGGCGAGTTAGGGCACGCAGGGGGCCACTACCCGTATAACGTTGCATTTAACTACTAATGAATATAGGATCGCCCCGCCACGGATGGGGATCTGCCGTGCAAAATCTTCCGAGCCAAGATCCTAGTGACAAATGTCCGGGTAAGTCTTCTTTCTAACATGGGGGCGAACACCTGCTGTTTCGACTCCATGTCGGGTCGGCTGGGGAATACTAACCAAAGACGAGGGGAAGGGAAACCGGTAAAAAAGAGTGTGGTTGGAATGGAAGCGGCATGGAAAGGATAGCAATCTCGTACATTCGCATTATGATAACGTCCACAGACTCAGTGCATGCGCCTACTGCCGATGGGGCTGGCAGTGTTAGGGGAAGTGCAGCTATTATTATGCAGTTTGCAGGGATGTATTCCTTCGGCGAGTCTAAATCAAGAGAGTTACATCGAAAAAGGATCCTCCCTCAGGTTAACACAGCCCGATGCCGGCGGACCACACCGGAGAAAACTTCACTAGTATAGTTTGCGTTTCCTATATGGAACGTTGGATAATGTCTGTTCCCTGGCTCAGAGGAAGGGGGGAGACTTTCGGAGAAGTAGATAATGCTTTCGTCTGGCTCTCTGGAGTCTTCCTTGCAGGGTTGATCCTCTGATTGATTCGATTCCGGGAATGTGCGTTCCTGATGTCGTCCAGCAACGCTGATGGAGACGCCTACGTCCAGGTGACACCAGACGACCATAGCGCCTTCATTATTATTGCGGTTCTGATTGGCCTGAGCTGGTCCGTTCTTATCATTGGCATCAGGGTGTATCTCCGCTTGAAGCTGAATCCCCCCTTTGGCTGGGACGATGTAGCCGCCCTATTCGGGACGGTAAAACACACCGAGCACTCTGTAATCCAGTCATCGCCAGGGAGCTGACGAGAGGATTTTCAGATCATAGGGGCCGTGCAAACCGCCGTGGTTCTCCAAGCAGTACGAAATGGGATCGGCAAGAAAGAAGCTTTGCTCACGGATGATCAAGTCGAATCGGGACTAAAGGTAGGCAAGCCCAGTCAGTACCGGTGGGCCAAGATACCGTGATGACTGACTTGGGCGAGATTCTAGGGCATCTACATCGCCTGGCTCCTGTATCCCGTCGTCGTCTGTTCGTCCAAGGTCTCGATCTCCCTCCTCATAGCGCGTCTCACCAGGACGAAGCTCCACCTAAAAGCGAGCCACCTTCTGACCGGATTCATCCTGCTCTGGGGGGTCATCTCGCTGTTCCTGATTGCCTTCCAATGCAAACTCCCCATGCCATGGAACGTCGGGGCAGTGGACCATTGTGGCAGCATGGTATGATAGTCGTCTTTACCGAACCAGGGCCATGTGGATCTAACAAGGCTATCAGTTTGCCCAATGGGCGGCAGTCGAGGCTGGAAACATCTTGATTGAGCTGCTCCTTCCATGCATTGTCATCCTAATGGTGTGGGATCTACGCGTGGCCTCAGCGACCAAAATCACCGTGGTCATGGTCTTTTCTCTCCAGTTGCTGTACGTATCCACGGTCTATATCCTGACCCCACTGACCTTCCTCAAGAGCAACGATCCCCATCATTGTGCGCCTCGTATTTCTCCAGCAAAGCACGACACAAGACAGCGCCGCCGACCCGACGTTCACAATCACCGACACCGTCCTGGCTACCGAAGTGGCAATGCACTTTTCCCTGATGTCGGCCACCTTTCCGTGCCTTCGCAAGTTCCTCCAGGTATTCGACTTAAACATGGGCGCCACAACGCACATGGACTGTGAGCCGGGCGGCACCTACTACAGTCGCTCTCGCTCAGCAGGCAGCTATGCGCTCCAGTCGATGGAGCGAGGTTCCCGGGTGCGCAAGGAGGAGTTGCCCGGTGCAAAGTCTCGGTTTAGCCCCAGAGGGCAATGTCAGACCGTCACCACCGTATCGGGGGGCTTGAGGGACGGGGTCAATAAGCAGAAGTCGCAACGGAACAGTGCCGTTGACGATGCCGAGATGAGGAGTATCGATAGTGATGGAAGTCAGAATGCGATTATTCGGCGAACGCAGTGGGAAGTTAAGGTGGAGTGAGTTAACATCGTTTACGGTTCGTTTTGGCCGGTGACTTTTGGATGGAAGTACTTTTAAAGAAATCCTGCCTGAGACGCACTAACTATAACATATGGATTGTAGTGATTCACTTAAGTAGACTGAGTGGAGTTTATCTCATAATGCAGCAGGAACATAGCTATAATTCAAGTGTTAAGATGTATATAGCATAGAGAGACTTGATCACCTTCGTTTATATCTTTTCAGTAAACAAAGGTATTCTTGTATTTGGCATAAGAGACTCTTCGAATTCCGTCGAGTCGGCTGGCACTGAACGATACTACGCTCATGGACTATAGAATAGTACACATGTCTTGGAACTACGGACAAAAAAAAAAAGGCAAGCTAGGATACCAAGGTGAGAATAAGCTCGCTGACCTGGTGTTTCCCAGGCATTGATCACTCGCCGAAGAAAGCTACACGGAGCCAACTGAGCTTCCCCGAAGGTGACCTTCACCCGGATGTCCATCGAATGATAAGTCTACGTTGGTACATCGAGCAAGCAATAGAGTCAATCAGTAAGCCGTAGCTATGACGCCTACAATAGGTATATGCAAAAACAAAAAAAAAAAATAAAAACTTTATGTACATGGGATCGACTGTGCATCAAAAGGGTATGAGAAAATCACAATCAACCATGGCCCAAAAAACCAATGCAAGACAACAAACACGATAAAGAGATACATAATGGCATAAACATGTCGGACATCACATTCTTATCATCCATCAGCCTCCGGGGAATTGACAGATGGCTCATAAGAGAAAGAAACCATAACACCGTTGCACCGTGCCCACCAGGAACCTGGGGAGGTCGAAAAGAACAAAACAGGCATGTCAATGCAGATAATCAACAAATCTATCGCAAATTGCCCTCGGGAATCACGTTTCTATGATAAATCCGGAAAGGAGCTCTTCAGACGAGCTCAACGAATAACGTCAGTTTGGAATTGCGTTGGATGGCCGTGTCGAGATCGCTGTCGCTGACCAGGTCGACGTAGGCGCCCGACGGCTCGTCCTTGTATTGCACCGCGATTTCAGTGTTGATCTTCAGACGATCCATGAGCTTCTCCCGCAGCTGCTGAAAGCTAATGTCGTTCGGGACTCGAATTGCGATGAGATCGCCCTGGAAGGAAACCTTGACTTTCAATGCGCCGCTGCTCGAGCTGGAGACCTGCGTCAGAGAGCTGGCCTGTCGGTTCATCGGCGGAGGCATGCCGTTGCTGTGCGATATCGACGCCTGCGCCCGCTGGTGCGAGTTCCGGTCGTGCGGGGGGTTGATCTGGGCCTGCGAGGACTGGCGGGAAGCGCTGCGGAGGTCCTCATGCGCCGAGTGGTGCGACCCACCGGAGAACCGCACATCCTCTCCAAACGCGCCGGGGTCGATCTCGAAGTCTCCCGCGCGAGGAGCAAACAATTCCCGGACCAGCTGGCAACGGGAGATGTGGGGAGGCATGGCCAGCAGTTTTCGAATGTACTCGTCTAAGTTCTGGCGGCGGCCGTTGGAGATCGCATCGGTAACGTGGGTGACCGGGCCGGGCATGAACGGCAAGGTCCGTGGCTTGCCTCGGTTCCCGGCCTCTTCTTCGAACTGCGTCAAGAGGGCGATCTGAAAGTCATAAAAGTCATGGTAGTACCGGGAGAGTTCCCAACAGCGACCGTCCTCCATCTTCGCCTCGATGATGTACCAGTATTTATCGTTGTCGAAGCAGTAGCGAGGAATGGACGCGGCGACCGGGGCCACCAGGGGCTGGTGGTAGCTTTGCATCGACTGGTGAGACATATGCTGTGCGAGAGAACCTTTGCTGGGATTGCGATGATGGTAGCCCTAACAGGACGGGTTAGCATGGCAATCCTCGGGATCCGGAACGGGGTGGCAGGGGGAAGTGTTGCGACTCACATAGGAATTGCCGTTCTGGCTCAAATGGGCGGTGCTCTGGTGGCTCATGGACATCTTTTCCATGCCGGAGGTCACCGAGTTCACATTGTTCGCCGCCGCCGCCGCCGCTGCGGCGGAGTCGATCTTGCCCAGCGTGATGCTGCTATTCTTGTAGTCGGCGGTCATCTTCTTCCATTCCTCCACCTTGGGCACTCCGGCGCGTCGCACAGCGTCGAGGGGATCCGTCACCGCTTGACCCGACTGCATATCCCTCAGCTCAATGAACGAGACCGGGATGAGGCCCGGGCCACCCAGGCGACCGATAGGTTTGGCGACAAACCATTCCGGATTGGACTGGGCGATGACGATGATGGCCTCGCCGGCTTTGGCGGCTAACTCGTCCGGTCGCTCGGCCTGGAAGTCATACTGGACGACACCGTAGACCATGGGGCTTGAGCCCTTGCCTAGTGTCGACATTCTCGGGAAGGCGGGGGGAGGGTTGTGTTTCGGCGAACCGTTGACGAAGTCGGGACCAGGGAAGGCAGCTGGGGCTCGATCAGAGAAACCGGAGTCGTGGGATTCCTTCTTCTTATGTAGGTCCAGCGAGCCGGCGCTATTTCTTTCGTTCTTGCCAATGATCTCGAAAAACGACACAGGCACCAACCCCCTAGCGGTAGGGATGAGGGGATTACACGCTTCGTACCAATCTAAGTCGTCCTCCCTGCTGATAACGTGAAAAAAGTCTCCCTTGCTGAAGGCCAATTCCTGGGTATTGCCAGGATCTGGTTGATAGTCGTAAAGAGCTTTGATGACCTGCGCGCCACCCAGGGGGGGGGTTGATCAATTAGTCGTTTGTTTTCTTTTTTTTGGTTGTTGCCAAGAAGGGGGACGATCCGACTAGTAAAAGCCGGGGGCAGGAGGAAGAGGAGGGAGAGAGAGGGGGGGGGGGGAACAAGCAGAAAAAAGAAAGGCAGGACTGAACAAGGGAAATGAAATTGATGGTAAGAAAGAGAAATGCCAACTAAACATGACGACACAGAAAATGTAACCGGGCGGAAGAGTAGGAAAATAAGCTTAGGCCATGCGAGATACACACCTTTTTCGGGGGTAGGATCGCGATCGCTGACTTTGGCGTAATCGAAAGATGGTGGTGGTGGTGGGGTTTAGGGTCTTTTTCCCCTTTGAGGGAGCGTCGGATGGCCTAAGGAATGAATCGATTAATTAATTAATTCCGGGGAGTCCAAGTGAGCGACCGAAAAATTGGGGATGTTGGTTACAAGCGATAATCGAGATAAACGAGGGGCGGGAAAGACGAAGCGCGAGAAACTTGAAACAAGAAGGGGGAATGCGATCCATCATACCTTCATGGCTGCCAGGCGGACCAACTAGTAAATCCGATGGAGGATCAACTTAACTCCAAAAGTTCCCACGTCCAACAGGAAAGAGAGAGGCAAAGTACAAAGGTAATCAGATCAAAAAATAAATAAAAAAAAAACAAATATAAAATAAAATAAAATACAAAATACAATCGTCCTCAAGGTCGGGTGTAGGTTTGAGGGCTGCAGCAGAGATGAAGATATCCCACGGATCTGCCTGCTATAAAACCCAATCTGCGCCACCAACAAGGAAGGGCGAGAGACGATGGCGACAGACGGTCGAATACAAAGAAAAGGAGTGTATGGAGGAGAGTCGGGGGAGGGACTCGAATGAATGAATGGAGAGGGAGAGTCGGAGATCGAGAGGGGAATGCGAATAATAAAAAAGAAAGACCAAGCGATGGAGAGTATCAGTGAGAGTGAGAGAGGCGCATGTACTGTATGGATGGATGGATGGATGGATGGATGTTATGTATGCCAATCGTATGGTCTCTTTCCCGTTCTATTTGGAGACTTGCTCACTCCAACACGGACTGGCTGTCTGTCTCTGTCTCGCGCTCTCTTCGCCCGTTTGTCAGATCTTACAACCACCGCTGGGTGAACCAGTCTGAATGGACGCTCTGGATTGCGATCACTCCAAAAAAGCAGCGAGGGCCCGCTTTGTGTCGCCCGCCCCTGATATTACGGAGTAGGAGGAATCTGGATGGGGCGAGTCACAATGAAGGATGGAGCTGACAATCCACGCGTGACAGCTGGGTTTGTTCCTTGAAGGCCCCAGACGGGAACCACTTCTTTTTTTTATCTTTATCTTTTTCCTTTCCGTTTTGGTGATGCGCAGTAATTCTTTTTGATTGTTATTCTGGGAATCCTGTGTTTCTGTGCAGAACCCGAGGGAAAGGCACCTGGTGGCTGTGAATCGATTTCCCGGTGGATTTGGGGGGGAAAGAGAAATGGGACCGTGGGGTTCTTGTTCTGTTCTGTTCTGCTCTGTATGCAGTTTGAAAATTTCGTGGGTTCGTAGTGGCGGGGAATTTTCGAATCCCTCCGGCTGGGTTGATAATATGGATCCTATCCTGCAAGATGTATGTATGTATGTATAAATCACAAGCAGGAAAGGGAGAAGCAGGGAGGTAGCTCTGGGAACTCTCAAAATAAGAGTCAAGCTAAAAATCAAAATCGAGGAATAGGAAAAAGGAAAAAAAAAAAGAAAAAGAAAAAAAAGGATGAGAAAAGCGAACAAAAAGTCTGCAGGTCGAGTGTCGACTACTACTGTTAACACATCTGCAACATCTCAAGCACATTGGATTGATTGGTGGTACGGTACCAGAGACGGTAAAGATGTACTGTATCCATCGACTTCCGTCGGGTACAATCAGTGTGGTTGGGTGGAGACGTGGGATCCGTTTGGAAAAACTTACTGTACCGTATGGAGGAACAACTTTTTTTTCATTCTTCCAGAAGGAAATCCATGAACTTTAAAAACTGGAAATCTTGGTTTCTTGAAATAAAAAATAAAAATAAAAAATCAAACTAGAGAAATTCGAGAAATTCGAGAGGCAAGAAATCGAGGAGAAATCGAGGAGAAATTCGAGAAAAGGCCAAGAGCAAACATACTACGGAGTACAGGCGCATATGGACCGATCCAAAACAAAAAAGAAAAAGTACATACTACCAAATAATGCCTCAAAAATCCAACCCGGGACCGTTGCATACCTAAAATTACCCTCGATTTAGTCTTTTCCTTGACCAGCGGGAGAGTCTCCCCGGCTGTCGTATGGCTCCTGTTGCGTCAACTAAACCCACTAGTTTGATGTCGATACTCCCGGTGCTGCCTTAGTCTGCTTCCCTCCAGCCCTGTTGGTTTCACTCGTCCTCGCACGCCTTGTTTATTCATTTGCTATCTTTTATTTTTCCCCTCGGGCAGAAAAAGAAAAGGACATAAAGACCAAAAAGTCAAATTGGCAAGCCCTGGTATCAACGCGGTTGGGCAGTGGTCCTTGCCTGGATACTTTTCCTTGTTGGTTGACCGTCCCAGAAGTTTACTGTTTCCTTGTGGAATGTTGGAACGAACGAACATACTAGAAAAGAAGGATCCGTACCAAAGTTGAAATCTCTGGACGCTAAGAGCAAAAGGCATGGCGTACCGCGTGTCCAGATGGGGATCCCATGTGGAATTGCCACACCCTCGGCAGCTCATTGGAGATGAACCAGACCAATGTCAGCGGGGGGGGTTCAGGTTCCAAGTTGTGGTCCGTGTGTCCAGGCTTTACTGCCATGGGTGACTTCTCCGAGTCTGTGCTTCATTCGTTCACGGTCTCTCTACCTCGACATGTATATGAATGACCCCGATAGATGCCCGCAAAAAGCCCCCTCTGATCAAGAGATGATATGATCGGCACATATCAGACTCCTGTGCCGACACTAGAGATTCTTATTTCTTTCTTTCAGCATCATAGTCGCCAATTAAGCTCACTTAGCCTCAGATTCTCCAACTCACCGTCCCTCACCATCGTCCTTTCTTTGGTTCCAAACCCTTTCGTTCCACTTTTAAAACACTCTCCCGCATCTTTTTAACTTTCAGACGATGTAAGAGGATAACCTAAATTGGTGAGCATGAGAGAAAAAAAAAGAAAGAAAGGAAAGAAAAGAAAACCGGAAACTTAGATCCGGGATTGACGTCCAACTTGAATTCGCACCATCTTCTCCGTGCAGCGTACAGCTGGAGATGCATACCGACTAAATGATAAATCCCATCTAGATCTATCTTAGTCAGGACCCCTTGTCCAATCCCGTAGCCCAGAATACTCCAACTGATGCAGGCCCAACTGGATCGACTTCTGTAGGGTTCTCGTAGGTCGCCTGCATAGTTCCCTCCCAGCTCAAGCTTCGTCAATGCTTCTGACGCAGGCCCTGAGTCATCCCGGCGATCAGCGCCCTTGCAGGGCGACTACATACTGGCCAGCTGGGTTGTTGGCTATGCAGACGTTTCCCCATCGATCGCGGACACCAGAGCTGATGACACAGCCCAGCCCAGTGGCCGTGGGTCAGGATCTACATTTTGCAAAGCTACTCGCGATACACTGCCCATTCGATGATGTCAAGGCCCAACAGACTTTGTACTAGTGTGTCCAAACTTAAAAGTGACCGACTCTGCCAATCTCAAGGGGGTGTGTTGGTCTATCCCGGAACAACCAAGCTGAAAGGCAGGCGTTGGTCTCCTTCGACTGACCGCCAGGTGTGAAATCACCGACAAAAGTACCATGCAGGTGAAAAATATCTAAACAGGTCCCACTGGTTCCTGGACTAGTACACCGAAGAAGATGGAGGTACGTACTGAATCCTGGGCAGAAGTGCACACTTGATAGGCTTGATTGGGGCGTCATTTTAACTTATCGCCTCGTGCGGCTGTCAGACCCATCCATCTCGACTTTTCCACTTGGCATGACTCATACGAGATCAAGTAAGTCGGGGAAATGAAATCGATGTATCATATAAATGAAATCGGATCGGAAGCTCTCAGCCCTACCTTCACCAGCACATGCCTTAATTTTTCAATTGCCAGCTAGATCAAGAGAAGAATAGACTCGGCACTAGTAGCAGGTTCCTTGGTAGATGTCATTTTCGTCGGGGCTAGGATCCACCGATGTGGGAATGATTCCAGAACAAAATCAGACAATACGTACATACATCGAACCGACAAGGATATGTATGGCAGCTGACAACCGACATATCCAAGTGCAAGCGTGCAGAGAGTGGACGAATGTTGACTCGTCATTCTCCAGAAGACGTCCTGGTAATTTCTGTCGACGGACTTTGCCCGACCATGTGGGCCGGACACGTTCGAGAACCTCGTTGCGGGTCCCTCGTGTACTTCCAATGTTTGAGCACACTGTTGGTGAGAAACCGGGCGAGTAGAGATTGACCATGCATAGCCAAGAGACAAGGATAGCATTGTCCGGTTCGTGTCTCCCGGGGAAGGTCGTGGTAGTGGGATACTCCTCCCGTACGGACAGATATTAAATGCGCCTGCCCGGCAAGGTCAATAGGAGCGTCTGCCGATTGATGTTCTCGGGGAACCGACGGACCAAAACATTCGGCGGC